TGCTGGAAAGGGCGTGTCTCCGCTTGCTTGACAGACAGAGTAAGGAGGTCCCGGGAGGGAATGTGACTTTAGTTTGGCTTACAGGACCCACGAGGTGGTGGACCGGGGCCAGTCCAGTGCTCTTAACCTGGCGCCAAATGCTTTCCTACTCCATCCCCATGATGGCACCTGTGTGCCCAGACCCTCTGGAGACCCACCACTGCCATCCTGTTAGGACTGCCCCCCCAACACAAGGGATCAGCATCCCACAAACCACACCCAAAGAAAGACCCAAAGATGTCCCCAGCCCCCTCAGAGGCACCTCCCAACAAGGACTCCTTTCTAAGCCCCGCATCAAAAGGGTTAGGGAAAACAGAACATCAATTCCTGTCACCTCATTCTCACCCAGACCTGCTGCAGCAGGAAGGGGGTCCTTCACCTTCAGGAAAAGGCCAGACAGAAGTAATACTCCCATGGGGGCGGGGAGGGGGGATGCCAAGAATCATCCCTGGCAAAACTCAACTCAGATGTGCCCAAGAACGGGATCCCTCAGACTTGGGCTCCATGGCCCACCCCTCTCCCCCTGGCCTGGCCCCAGGAATGTCTTCCGTTTGCTTGGAGGGCTACCTGGTTGCCTCCAAGGGCTCACCTCTCCTCCAGCAGGGCACCATCGAGACCCGACTGAGAGGAGTCGTCACCCGGGTAGGGGGGATCATGCTCCTTGCCTGCCTGGCGTTGGCTGGGTCCTGGGCTCATCTCTGCCACCATCTGCCGCTCCCCTCCCCCTCCTAGGGGCTGCAGGCACAGGCTTGGCTTGGTGTGACCACCAGCTCAGCGAGGGTCCAGCAGTGCCAAGCAGCTCACGGGAAGAGGCTTTGTCTCCATGCTGCTTGCCTTGGTCCTTGGAAATAGACCTCAGGACATGAGATCTAAGATCGGGGTCGGCGGGGAGACCCAGAAGGTAATGACGTACAAGTGTTCCTTCCAGGGCCCTAGGCGGGACTCCCTCATTCCCAACATCTCAGGAAACTCTTAATTTTAGCGCCATTCGTGTCTATACGGGAGAAGCGCCAGGGGATCCCTCTAGGGAGGACTTCAGACATCACCATGCACAAGCATGCCGATGGGGCTCAGGGCAGGCATGATAGTGTCAGGTACAGACCTGGAGAAATGAGAAGGGGAGGAGGGGGAGCAGTAGGTGGAGGAGACTGGGGAGACCAGAAGGCACGGCTGCGGCCTGCTGATGGAGCAAGAGAGATCTGGGGAGAGGTCATGGCCAGCCCAAGGTTGCCCTCTGCGTTTCCACCCGCACTCTGTCCATTCACCTTCCATGCCCAACCCCACGAGGCTCAGTAGAAGCCGAAGGCCATGTGAGCTGAAGCGAGCCCCCCTCCCTCCCCAGGAGTGCATGGATCTACCAGCCAAGGTGTAAGCTTCGGGGTGCAGCAGAGTGGGAGGCACCCCTCCCCCAGCCCCCTAGCACTTTTCCGCACAAAAACCTATAATGAAGCACGAGGGAAAGTGTGAGCCCCAAGAACGATGGCGGGCATGGCTGGCATTGGAGGAGCCTCGGGAAGCACAGGGATCAGCCGTGCAAACAAGCTGAGGACCCCAGGCCTGGAGCCTCCAAGCCAAACAACGCATTTCACAAGCGAGGAAGCCTGTGGTTCGCCCGTGTGACAGCGTGCGATTCCACGAGACATGGGACGTGCTAGGGACGCACACAACATCGGTGAGCCGAAGCATGAAGCCAAGGGAAAGCAGCCAGACTCGACGGCTACATCAGGGGCTCCTTTCATAGGACATTCTAGAAAAGGCAACCCCATAGGGTCTGACAATCCATTGGGGGTTGCCGGGGTGGGGGCAGGAAGGGGAGCGGGTGTGGATGATCAGCTCTTAAAGGAGCTGGAGGGAATTTTCAGGCGTGAGAGAAACAGGATGATGATTTCGGTGGTGGTTTTAACACTGCAGGGTTGTCAAAATTCACAGAACCCTATCCTTCAATAGGGTGCATTCCACTATAGGTCAGCAAACTTTAATACTGTATGTTTAAAAAGCTCAATCTGAAAAAAACAAAAAACCAAAAAACCCAAGGTGGTAGGTCTGGGAGGGGTGGGAGGATTCGGGGGATACACTGGTCTGTACCCCACTTAACACGCCTCAAGTGCTTTCCCTATCTACCTGACCATCAGTGGGTCTGTAGAATCCTGTTTAAACTCTCCCTGTCAAGGCCACTCATGGCTGGAAGTAAAATCACTTCAACAAGCCAAAGTCTTTGACGTCCTTTGAAGTTTATGGCTTGTATTTCCAAGAAGGGACTTTGGTTCCGCCAAAATTCTTGTGTACCCATCCATTAAGCTAGTAATTGATTGGTTTTCACAAAGGGAAGAGAAACAGCCGTCCTCCCCACTGGTTTGTGAGCATGGACACTGTTTTTTGCTCGCTCCGGTCATGAACCAGCCCCAGGGAGAAGCGCCTCCTTGGGCAGAGATCCTCCCGGCCTGACAGGCACTGGGTGGGGGGCCCAAAGAAGGCCCAAGGTGGTCCCACAGGCAGCTGGCCTCGTGGTCTGGTCATCCAGGGCTTGGCAAGACTGATCAAAAGCGACGGAAGGAACAAGTGGCTTTGCCTGGAGGTTGCTGCACCAACCAACGCACTTTTTATCTTAGAGATTTTTCCCCCCAAAATCAAGTGCAATCATGTCTTACAAGAGGCAGGTAGAAAGGGCTTGCTTGTTCTTAGAGGACCACGGATGTGCCTGAAATATTCCAGACACTCAGAACAAGCCCGGCCACACGCTCTTCTAACCTGAACACCAACATTGACAAGAATAAAGTAACTGGATAGAGGGCTACTCCGGAGCCCTGGGATGTTCTAGACCTCCACCTCGTCTTGGTTCACCCAGAGCGGGAGCCCCGTTAACAGACCCCGCTCCTCACTCCCTGGGCTCATCGGGCATCCCTGGGCTTCGTTCTTTCCTGTCAAGTGAGGAGAGTTATTTAAAAACGAGGAAAATCTGAGATCTGAGTTGGATCCAGGCTGTGAGGGCCAAGGGATTCCATCCTTACTGTCCACCTTCCACCCAGCCAGGAAACACCACCCGGTGGTGGTTTGTGTTAGGATGCCAGGCTCCGAGGGGGTTAAACGTGGAAGGGGTGCCATGCTCTCGCTCCACAGAGAGATCTAGAGAGCCCCCGCCTCCACAGAGAACAGAGGAGATGAGGAAAGAGTGTGTGTCCTGCATGTAGCTACAGTTCTGTGCCCACAGGATGCCTGCCTTGACCCCAGTATCTGCTCAGTGGACGAACAAATCAATGTAGGTCTACCAGCCCAACGGAGAGAATCCCGAGAAACCGCAACTTTGCAAAGAGCGCTCGTACATGAAGGTCAAGGTTACTGACCAGCCAGACTCCTGGAGAAAACATAGGTCTATGCAGAAAGGAGAGATGCTGGGCTTTCCCCTGCCCTGTGTTGTCCCCAGAACTCACTAAGCTCTTTGATGAAGGAAGGAGCACAGAGAAAAAAGAAAATAATGTGAGGAGGTTAATGAGCTCGGGCTGAGGGCGGGGGAGAACGACTTCAGAAAACCCACACTGGGCCAATTCAGGTTCCCCTGGGAGAGGCAAGAGAGCCCCCCGCCTCCTGTCTCCGGGAGGACCAGAAGACTCGGGAGTCTTCGCAAGGGAGTGAGAAAAAAAAACCCAATGAGCCATATCACACTCAAAATATCTATGTTAGTAACAAGGCTATTGGCTTTGAACAGTTGAAAATCACCCACAAATTAGTCCACTCGGTCACAAGGCAATTCCTACCAGCACCCATTTTTCATAGACAAACCAAGACAGAACATCCTAAAATTGGTTGCTGGTGTCATGGCCCAACGCCCAATCCCGAAGGAGCGGTCCTCCCTGCCAGGGACAGACCCAACCTGCACACTGACCTTCTTGGTTGGGATGGTTCAACGGGACAAGTGACCAATTGTGGCTTACTCTAGGACACTGGGCATCTTTCTAAACTGTGAGAGCCTAATTCTGTCTCAGTGAAAGAAAGAGGTGCCAAAAGACTCAAGATGAGTGAATCATCAATTCCCGGCACGAAGACTGAGGGACCCAGAAGTTGTGCTCTTAGGACTCTGCCCTTGTAGGGGGCGTACAGGTGCTGGACGTCCAAAGTTACCAAGGGGAAAGAGGAGTGAAGAAGGATGGGTTCTCAGGGCGTGGGTTTTGGGCTAGAATCTGTCCCCTGCTGGCCAAGTGACCACCTTCGGGGTGTGAGGTGTGAGCGGGGACTGGGGTGTCACCACTTCTTCCGGTCCCTTGGTGTGGATTCTCAGGGTTTGACATGGTGGAGAGCAGGGTTTGCTGTGTTTCTATAAAGGGAGGGACTGATGAGCGGTGTCCTGAATGCTTCTTATGTCACGCCCAGACCCGGGTTTCCCAGGAATTAGGAGGTGGGGAAAGGGAAAGGTGGTACCAGCACCAAGCAGGGCTCCGTGCGGGGCTCCGGAACGTGCAGGACAAAATGAGGCTGGGATGGCAGGACACTGGTTGGAAGGGGACACCCCGCTGAGGCCGTGAGAGTCTGCCCTCCCTATGCAATGCCCACCAGGGAGAGAAAGCCACACGGGGACCTCCCCCCCAACACAAGCAGATGGAGCCCTCTGTGGGGGATGGGCAGGGGTGACCAAGAGCCATCCCAACCCATCTCCCACAGGGGACTGAGCCAGCCCCATGAGGAGCCTGGGACGGGGCAGGGGTGGGCAGTGGGAGCCTCCCTGAGGAAGCAGCAAAGGGTGGGATGAAATGGGGTTTCCAGCCCGGAGACTTGACAGAAGATGCCTGACCTAGCGTGAGACGTGACTCAACACTCTGACTTGTGCTGAATGAGGTAGTGCCATCCCGACCTCTCCAGGCAGGGTCTGTCTGTGCGGAGAGGAGCAAGGCCTTATTCCCAAGACCCCAGATGATGGAAAAGGGGCCAAGAGCCAGGATGTGAGCTCCCAGAATGCGACAGAAATGAAATGAAAAAAATGAAAGAGGGTGGGCTGGACTGCAAAGAATTCTGGGTGTGGGGGGCTGTTGAGCTGAGCAGTGCCTTCCAGCGACAATTCTGATCTTGATACTTGGTTGGAGACAGGGACCTTTCCCCCATGACCACCCAAAGCCCGGGACACAGGGGACCAGCTAGACAGAGGGCCTCGGGGCTTCCAGGGGCACACGTGGGTGACGCGGCTGGCTCTGGGTGGGGAGGTGACCCCTGCGGGGCTCGGCAGGGACCACCAAGCTCCAGCCTCAGTGTGTCCCTGGAGCAGCAAACATAGCACAGGAGTCGGGGGGCTTCCGCCTTGGGGACAAGGGCGGGGCTGTGGATCCGTCTTCTCGGCCTGGACGCACTGACCGCTCCCCGCAGGGCCTCCCTTCTGGAATCACCCCGGCTCGGCAGACCAGGACCAGGACCAGGACAGTGGGTGGGAGGCAGGTGCACTCAGCAGCGGGCCCCGTGGCGGGCGCGGCCACCTCCTCTCCACGGGACCCCCAGCCCCTCTCCTCGGCAGGACCCCCCGGGGCCGTGCGTGCCCATCTAAATCTCCATGTCCACGGGGCGGATGTTGCCTGTCTTGTGCTCTCGGACCCACAGCTCCCTGTCTTTGGCTGGATCCACTTTTCGAAGCAGCTGGTCCACAGGCTCAACTGTCTGCAAGGGACGGAGAAGGGGTCACAGTCAGAGCCTGCGGCCGTGCCGGGGACAACAAAGGCCCCTGCAAGGTTTGGCGGTGCACAGGGGTGTGAGAGCGGAGAACCCCGGGGCTCTCGTCCCCACGCTGCGTCTCGTTCACTGCACTCTGCCGCGAGCCCGAGGGCCTGCGTGACCGGGCAGGGGGCCCCAGGGCTCCAGGCCCGGGACCACCCCCTCCACCTGTCCCCACCTTAACATCCCAGGACAGGGCCGATGGAACGTTAGCTTCAGGGAATTTGAACGTTTCTGGATTATTTATTTATTTTTTGGCAAGAAATTTGCCAGGGGAGGCAATAAGGTCTCAGCTCTTTTAACTGTCACGACCTTCTCTGTCCTTGGGCTGAGAGCTGGCGCGTGGGATGACCCACGCAGGTGCCCAGGATGGTCCGTGAGCCCATCCCACGGGCCCATGCACCTGCCACCCCCCAACCGTCAGGACAGAGGCATTTGGAGGGGCTGCTAACCCTAACCCTAACCCTGCCCGGCGCCCCTCCCCCACCCCTTCCCGCCGGGGTCCTGCTGGTCTTGGTCCTGGACAGGCGACTCACACTTTGGTTGAACATGTCCGTCTCGTGCCTCAGCTGTGTGTACTGACAGAGGTGCTGCCGGATCATCTCCACCCTCTCCACCTCCAGCCGCTCCAGCTCCTGCCCGGCGTGGTTGGGAGGGGAGAGACGGGACACAGCCCTGAGCCCAAGCCCACAGCGTGGGGGACCCTGCCCCCACGCAGGTCCCAGCCTACCCTAGCCACACAGCACAAGTCACCGCCTGCTTCAAACGGGTCCCAGGGGACCCTTAGGGGGCTAAAGCCCCCCAGCATCCAGGGGGCAGGGGAGAGGTTGGGGGAGGGGAGATGCAGGAGCTGCGGTTTCCCGACTCCTGCTCTGCGGGACGTGGTGGGTGCTAAGAGCTTTGTGTGCATTACTTAACTGTCTTCTGTCATTTTTTAAGAGAGAGGTTCTTATCTGTGACATCACTTGCCCAAAGCCCAGGGCATTATGGGAGGAGTGGGGTTCAAACCAGGGTCTGGGTTCTGCCGCAGGGCAGCCCCGGCCCCGGTTCCCCGTCAGGTTGGACACGAGTCGCATGTAGAGATTCTGTGTCTCGGGCTCTTGGGGCTTTGTCCCTGGGCCTCTGCCTCCTCTCCTCTGTCCAGTTCAAGGGCAGACTAGAGACCAGGCCAGGGGACGTGGGGGTGGGGTACGCATGTAGGTGAAGAGTCAGATGGCCATGGTCAAATGGAAGAGAGAGGGCTTGTCCTTCGGTTTCTAGATGGTTCTGCATCTTTGGAATTTAGGGGATCAGGCTGCTATTCTGTGCACAAGTAGGTCACTGCCCAGGTGATTAACTGGGAAGAAGGGTAAAGCGGGGGGCTTAATTAGGAGATTAACCAGGAGGAAGACTAGGTCATGGTCCCTGGGGGAGGCCTCTCATCTGCTCCGGGGGGCGGACACCTGGGCACGCAGAGAGTTAGTCTGTCCTGTGCCGGATGGACGAGGCTGGCTTTGGGCAGTGGACGATGCAGTGGACTTGGCCCAAGTGCCAAGCACACTTCGTCGTCCAGCCCAACGGGAGCGCACTGAGGACAAGATGCTGTCCCTTCGTAAGAAATACTCGGGAGGTGCCCGGAGCAAGGGGGCGCTGCCCAGTCAGTTCTGACTCCTGCTTTCGGGTCAGGTCTAGATCTCAGGGTCGTGGGACTGAGCCCCAGGTCGGGCTCTGCACTCAGGATGGAGTCTGCTTGAGATCCCCCCACAACTGCCTCTCCCCACCGCGCTCTCTTTCTCTCTAAAATAAATATAAATACATCTTTAAAAAAATACTCAGGAAGACAAAAAAGGGGGTCTGATGCCTATTCCCTGCACTTCTTGATCAGAGACCTCCATTCCCATTTCTTCTAAACAGCTATCCCAACCTCACTCCGTATGTGTCCTCTGTCTAGGACGGGCAACCCTGCCGGGGATGGGTAGGGTCACGCTTTTCCTATAACTTGACTATTTGTCCTAAAGGCTCCACCGTATGCTTGGCTGAAGGCATCCTTGGTCAACTCTGACCCCTCCGGGGATAGCCCAAGAATAGTAGTAAGACCCAACCCCTGCCTGTGTTCACAGCTAGAAGTGCCAAAGCAGGATCTGAATCCACAGACTGGCCCAGAGTCAAGGTCTTGACCTCAGTGGTGGAGAGGATCTAATGGGCACTTCTGTGGCCACCTCTGCCCCATCCCCCACACGCCCGCCAGCATCCCCCAGGGCATCCTAAGCACCAGCCCCGCGTGGACAAGCTCTCACATCTCTGCTCACTCACCAACGTGGTGGTCACCATCTCTTCAAACCACTTGGACTGGGCTTGGTTGTAGAGGTCCACGCAGCGCATGAGGTCATCCCCTGGAAAAGACCATTAGCCACCATCACACTCTGTCCTGTCCTCACCATGGCTGCCCTGCCCCATCCGTGCCTCATGCCTTCTCCTCTCCCTGGGTTGCGGAGGCCACTGGGAAGTGGAGGAAGGGGGAACAGAGACAAGGAAAGGGGAAACCCCTGTATCATGAGTGTCCATCAGAGCTTGACCCCAGATACCAAGAACCCAGGATGAAGGTTTCTCAGTATGTGTGTGTGTGTGTGGGGGGGTGCTCCTAGGAACCCCCCAATCCTACCATGAACCCAAGAAATCCTTCCCTCTCTAAAGATGGCACTTTCATTTGACACTGGAGAGTCTTTCTCAGTTAAAACGTGTTATAAGCAACTTAGAAGGAGTCAAGCATTAAAGAAGAGTCTGGAAGTTGCACGTGTGTGCATACGTGTGCCGGAATGTAATTCCAAAACACAAAACAAAGTGTCTGACGGTCTGCGGCTCACTCACACACACGGGTACGCTACGCGCCAAGCCCAGGACAGTGGCCACTTTGGGCGACAGGGGATAGGTGGGAGGGAGTGAGCTCTTCCCGCCACATTTAATTTCACAAAAGAGAGATGTGAAACCCACTGAACTCTTCAGTCTTGACGGCTGGTCTGCTATTTTCCAGAAGGCAGGTACACGTGAAACATCTTGTAATTAGGAAGAAAACAAACTGTACAACAGGTGCAAGCGTGACCGCTGCGCGCCAGCCCCAAGAACCTTGGTTTTCTGACTGTCACGGGGTTCCAGAGATGGTGGGGAGTCACGGTCTGTGTTCTCAATGGGCAAAACTCGGGAGCCAGCCCCAAGCTAACCGATTCGCTCTAAACCTAGTAATTGCCGCGGATTCAAAGTTATACCTCTAACCACATCCCTTGGGTTCATGTGTATCCTGAAATGGAAGTGAAAGAAATCAGGGAGACGCATGTCCACGTGACCCAGGGCCCAGCTCAGCAGCCCCCTCCGACGAACCACCCCACTCGCTGGGAGATGAGCCTGAGGAACAGAACCCAACCATGGGGTCCTGATCCATCACCAGTGAATGGGTCCCTGACCTCAAGAAGGACTGACTTGGAGAGAAGAGAGTACATACGTCACTGCAAACACATTCCCACCAGGAGCCCATGAGCCCGGGCCTGACCAACAGCGGTGGGGGGCGGTCAGCATGTCCCTCTACAAACCTACAATACTCAAACCCCCACTGCCCTCTTTGTCGACCCTGATCTTGAGAACATGCTTTGGAATCGGGTAGCTGTAGGAGACGGTGTCTTCTGTCTACGAAGCCAGCCTAAGGGTACCCTTCGGAACAGAAGGAATTAGGGTCATGGCTTCTGGACCCGGAATATCTGGGCTGTCCTACCAGCTCCACTGTCTGGTAGCTGTGCGATCGTGGACGAGTCAGTTAACCTGCCTGTGTGCCTCAGGCTCACCACCTACAAAATGGGAGAGCAACGGTACATCTACGGAGTGACGGGAAGATTAAGAAGTCGCGACATGTCTAGTGTTTGCAACGGACGCTGGCGGAGTTGGCACAAGAGTAACATGAGCTACAGTGACGGCAATGATGACAAAATGCAATCCAGCCCCGCGAGGACCCAGAGGTGTGCCCTTCCAGAGGCTTTGGGAAAGAGGACGGAGGAGAGGAAAGGGAGGGACAGAGGCAAGGAAAAAGAGCGGGCATCTTCCCGGTGAGGGGCCATCCAGGAACATGGGGACAAGCAGTGTCTTTGGAAGAAGAGATGGTGGGATCCTGGGTCCCAGCGCTCTAGGACTGTCACCATCTGTGAAGGGTACAGAAATACCCCCCGCTCCCCGCAGAAAGACTGGGGGGGCTTGGACGTGGACGCCCTGAGGCAGAGGGCCTGGCGCCCGGCACACAGATAGGGTTTTGGAAAGGTAGAATTTTTCACAGAGATCCAAGGACGAGGATGGGTCACTTCTGTCATAGCGTAACTCCAAACTGAAGAGCTGAGACACCGTGTTACCTGATTAACCCACAATAACCCAATACACAAACAGCAAGACCAGAAATCTCTACTGCTAGGCAGGGTTCTGGCTGGCGGAAACATCAACATTCTTCTGAAATTGGCTGAAATGGACTAGAAAGTGCAAAGAGCGAGATTATGTAGAATGTGAGAGAAATGAAAATAAAAAGCTAATTACCGAGACTATGAGAAGGACAGCAAGATACCTAGGGTACGAGAGAAATGAAAACACACACAAAAAAATCAAAACTTGAGGACCAAGGCCAAAAGCAGTGGTGTGAGTTCAAAGAAACACCTGGCGGCTCAAATATGCATGTGTTTACTTCTTAAACCTGGAGCCAAAGAAAAAATGCGATCGGAAATATATATATTGAAAAAGTTCTTTCTAAATCACAAAACCCAGAACTTATAACAAGAGGAAAAGACCGGGGGTGCCTGGGTGGCTCAGTGGGTTAAAGCCTCTGCCTTCGGCTCAGGTCATGATCCCAGGGTCCTGGGATCGAGGCCTACGTCCGGCTCTCTCTCGGCCAGGAGCCTGCTTCCTCCTCTCTCTCTGTCTGCCTCTTTGCCTACTTGTGATCTCTATCTGTCAAATGAATAAATTAAAAAAAAAAAAAAAAGACCGTTCTACCAAAAATTTCGAGAAGAAAACAAGCCGGGTCAGGGAGGGCATGGAGAGAAAAGAAAGGAATATAAAGAAAAAAAAAAGGTAAATGGCAACCTTGGAAAAATATTTGCAATTCAAACCGCAGGAGTTTAATTTTCCTGACCTATCATTCATTGCCAATCCATCCGTCAGAATAAAAGAAACACGGGAGAGGACGGGAGTTCATTGGTTCAGTTCACAGAAAAAAGTCACAGATGACACAGAGAAGTCAATTTTCGAAAAGCTCAAATTCACTCAAAAAGGAACGTACATCGCCAACAAAACAGTGGTTCTCACCAGACAGCTCGGATGGCGGAGTCTGGTCTCATGCAGTGCAGACCAGAGCTTAGGGGACGGGCATCCCTTACACGCCCACAGTGGACACACCTCTCCAGAGAGCAGTTTGGAACCAGCCACGTAAACAAACCCAACGCTCTGACCCGGAAACTCACATCCACGCTCTCTACCTCCACGGACTGAGACTCACAGACACGCAGCTACAGTGACAACATCGTTGAACACCCACCGACCATCTCAAAGTCCTAGAAGAGTCCATCACGGGAAACATGGAAAAAAAAAAATTGGGGGTCTGATCTCAGCACACGAGAACATCATTCGACCACTGAGAAAGTCTTACGTATGGGATCAGATGGGTAAATAAACATACAAGTGACAGAACTATCTCGAAGCTACATTGGTAAAAATATAAGTTCGGGACATAGACGAGAAGCTCATCTAATGAGTCTACATTTAAATATTAAGAAAACATTTTTAAGAATTCAGACATGAGGAAGTGTTGATGGTGATTATCCTCTAACGGATAAGATTTTATATTAAGTGCTGGTTACCTTTTTTATTTTTGGCCAAGCGGCGACCTAATTTTATTTTTTAAAATAATGAAATAAGTTGAACAAATTGAAATAGGCTCTCCCCGTCCTGGGTTTGCCTTCCCAATCCCCGGTTAAGTATATTACGCCTTCTATTTCTGGATCCGGTTATCACCACCAGGTTAAGATCTTTGTCCATCAAATGTCGAGTCTACACTACACTGCTCTGTGACTATTTCTATACCACTGTGTTGTCCCGTCCAGACGGTGGCTGCTCCGTCCTGTAATGAGTTTAACTGTGCCAGAGCACCAGAAACTCAGGTGAGAAGGGAGACCATCTGATCCAAACCCTAACGACAGCACGCGCTTTAATCCCAGAAAGCCATAAACAGCATTGTCCTGGCGTGACCTTCAACTTGGATGTCCTGAAGAAATACAGACTAAGTCTTTCTTGCCTTTTTTTTTTTTTTAACTGGTTCTAACAGGCCGTCCTCCCCCTCCTTGTGCATCGGCTAGTTTTTGCCACACGGTGGAAACAGAAACCAACTCACTGGAGGGAAATCTTTGCAGGAGACTCTGAAATCCGGTTCTTTTGTGGGACAAAATGTCAGACTCTGTGGCGGGGGCAGGGGTCCCCCTGATCACCACAGGGCAGCCCTGGAGCCTCACTCGCTGGGGACATGGCAACGCTGGGTAGACGGGAGGCCTGAGTTCTGGGCACGGGGAGGAGTTTCTCCACCTCCTGACCTGAGCTCCACATAAGTAGGGCCTGGACACAGCGCCATAGCCCCCAACCCCAGCCTGGTCCTGGGACGCACCTTGCTGGCACTCCACCTGCCAGCCCCCTCTTCCTGCGCCTCTGAGGCCCCGGGGGAGGGGCGGAGGGGCGGGGCGCCCGCGGCCACACTCACCAGCCTGCGTGGACTTCCTCCGTGCCTTCTTGATGTCCTCCTCCGTCTTGTTGCTCAGCTTGATCTCCAGCTGCTGGGTCTTCATCTCCAGGTCTCTCTGCCGCTCCGTGAGGGCCTTCCGGGCCTGGGGTCCAACGACACAGGGAAGCTGCTCACGGGGCTCTGAGCCGGGACGGCCCTGCAGGTTCCGCGGCCCGGCCTCCCCTTTGCTGGGGAAGGGTCCTCTCTTCTCCCCGTGTTCGTGGACATTTTCCCCAGCAGTGCTGAGCAGATGACGGCACCTGCCACCCCATTTTGGAGCCAGAAGGGCCCTTCTATGGCCGCAACGGGCAGGGGCTGGATGTGCCCCCATCCCACACCCCACCCCGAAGCTGGAGGCTAGCATACCCCCCCATCCCCACCCCCAACCCACCACCCGGGGACAAAGGCCTCTGCCACCAGGCTGGGCCCCCCAGGCCCCTACCTTCTCCACCGCAGCATAGCGGCTGGCCAGCTGCTTGCGGAGGTCGGCGATGTGGTGGTCACACTTCTTCATGTCCTTCTTGAAATTCTCTCGGAAGTTCATCAGAGGTTTCTCCACCTCGCTGTGCAGCTGTTGAGGACAGTGGGGGGTAGGGGGGACACGCTTAGGACCCCAGGGCATCAGCGGTGCAGGAGGGAAGATGCAAGGAGCCACGCATCAGGTCTTGGGTTGGGGGGTCGCCTTAGCTGGCTAGACCCCAGGATTCACACCAACAGACCAACAGCTTAGTGTCCAAACCTTTCCGAGCCCTTTGCCGGTGGCCTCCTGCCCTTCCGGGGACCCACGGCTTCTCACGGGACTTTGCTTGGGTCCTGAGCCGATGCTGCTGACTTTCCAAAGTGGGATTTTTCTGGGGGCAGAAGCCAAGCCACCATCTCCTCATCCCCAAGCACGGAGCACAGTGACTGCCACGTGTGGGCCATTTAATGAGATGAGCTTGGGTCAGTTCTGTTTGCTCAATGTCTGCTATGAGCCAGGTGCCTGAGGCGACAAGGATGGTCTGGACACGGCTCAGAGCTCGAGGAAGCCGTGGTGGGAACCCCGCACAAGGCCGGGAGGAACTCACTTCTCCAGCCCACATGGAGACAGGTGTACCTTCCCTCCGGGTGGAGGGAGCCGGCCTCCTACTCCTGAGAGCCAGAGAGGGGCTGGGTTCTCAAGCACCTTCTCTTCTCCCTATCCCACTCCCTTCGTAAGGAGAGCTTTTCCAGATCAGTGTGGACCTGCTGTGGTCAGAGCCGGGGGAGCAGCCCAGAGCCCAGGCGACAGGCTCTCAGACTCAGCCTCCCAGAACCCCCCAACTAACCCCCCGGAGCCCCCAACTCAGCTCCCGGAGCCCCCAACTCAGCATCCCAGAGCCCTCTGACTCAGATTTCCAGAGTACCTTGGCTCAGATTCCTAGAGTGCCTTAGCTCAGCCTCCCGGAGGCCCCCGACTTGGCCTCCTACGGCCCTCTTCCAGCTTTCCAGGGTCCCTCGCCCTGCACCTGTCCCTGAAGCACCTCTGGAAGGCTCAGCTGAACTTCCCTGAACACAGGACCTCCCAACACGGGTTCTACTGCTTCTCTTTCTTCCTCCTCACCAGACTCTTGCCACACTCCCTTTTTCTCCAGAGCCCCCAGGACTTCCGTGTTTGTAGCCCTAAACCACCAAATACACGTGACTGTGAGTTCCGAGAGGGCAGGAGACCTGCGGGCTTTGTCCCGCTGTGTCCACAGCATCTGGTCGGAGATGGCGCGGGGCGGGTGCCCCTTTACTACCTGCGAGAATGACACAACCTTCAGTGCCCTATGCCTGGGAGAGAAGTGGATGCCTTTGTTGATGACCTTCAAAGGCTAAAAAGAGCACAAGCCAACCAAACACCGTGCCCCGCATGTAAATGCCTCATTTTTCTGAGCCCCCAGAAGCGGCCTTGCCTAGGAAGATAGCCCCACCTGCTGGCAGCCTGCGGGACATTACACACTTGGGAGCTGCCCAGAACTCGAAGGTCACTTTCCCATATAGATCAGGTATTGGCGGAGAAGTGGCCTCACTTAGTTGCCGTGGACATCTGCTCCTGTTTTTTTGGGGGGGGCGACTGATGAGGCTGAACTCAGTCTGTTGATTTGGTAACTCGGGGGTCGCTTTCCAAGGGCCTAGGAAGTGAATTGATTTCCAGAATTTCATGTGCCCAAGAGCTACCCAGAGGGTCAACATTCAGGATTCCTGGGTCCCAGCCCCAGGTCCTGTGGTCTGGGGAAGGGCCCCAGAACCTGCCAATACACCAAAATGTGTCCCCCAGATTCCAAACTGACTTCCTGGAAACGTAATGCCACTTGTGGTCACAGGCATGCCATCCCATAGACAGAAACCCACGGATTCTCCTATATTTTTAAGTGTTCTTTCAAAACACTAATTGTTTCTTTAAGAATGCTGGCTGGGTGTCCGTCCCTACTTGTTCTTTATGTCTGAGCACCTTAGTCTGCCCAGGGCCAGAAGGCCTTCCCGGACGCTTGCCCTCATGACCTTCTGAGCTGGCCTGAGAGTTGTGAAATCAGCTTAGTGGGGAGCATAGCGTCAGGACTGGCTTTTGGATTAGAAAGAGAGAGCACCGGAGTGCACTTTAGGCAGAAGGACAAGGGCGGCTTTGGGAAGCGTCTGTCTTGGTGATGCACGTGTGTGCGTATCTGTATGTGGCTATCTGGGCATGGGCGCCTGCATGTTGTGGCTGCCTGTGGGAAATGTGTGACTGGGGGTCCCAGTCAAATAAGCTTCAAGCCACTGATCTGGTCCAAACTCTTCATTTCACACATTAAAAAAAAAAAAAAAAAAAAAGCCGAGAAACACTAAGACTCACCCCAGGTCCCAAAGCTTGTTAGGGAAAGCCCCAACATAGAACCCAACGTCTCTTGACTCCCACTGTCCCCCTAAAATGTCCCGTCTGCACGCATGGTCTCTCCTGCCGGATTAGACTTCTCTTCCATCAGAAAGAATTTTCCCATTTTCCCTTCCTCAGCTGAAGCCAGGTATCACTTCCTTTGTATATGGCAATCTTGTTTTGTTAAGAGCTTTGTTGCCAGGAGTGGTGGCTGGAACCGGGAGACAAGCACGGTCTGAAAGATGGCTGACGAAATTGCATTTCTTAAAAGAGCACTCATCCCGCACCCTCCCCCGCTGCCCCGACAAGGAACATACGGAGCAGAATTTCAACGAGCCCTCTGGAAGCAGATGCTGAAATGGGTTTCGGGCATATTGGAACCCTACGATCCACGGCACAGGGATAAACTCCTTTGCCTTCAAGGAACCACTGTCCTCCCACGGGGCTGCTATCTGGTTCCTTAAGGCCACCAACACTGACGGACAGGCTGGGGGCAGCAGACGTCTCATCGGACATCTGGTTTCCGTGAACATTGGTCCCAAGTCCCCCTCCCCACCCCCCATCGGCAGCATGTGGAAGTCCCCTGTGCCTTAAATGCCACTGGTCTGCCCAGAGAGAAGGTCCGGGGGGGCAAGTGGCTGATTGACTAAGTCTTGCCCTTTGCTTCCCCCGGAGCAGAGCTGGAGGCTGTGTGACCATGAGCCTCAGTGGAGCCTTGATTTGCCCCCCCTCATTTGTGATATGCAGATGCTAACTGGCAAGATGGTGGATAAAACCAAGGCCAAGGAGTGATTCCCTGCACATAACCCTCTAGAACGCTTACCCACTGGGATACTCTAATACAACAAACGTGTATTTTGGCCTTTGTCCCCGGCTCCCAGACAGAACTCCTGAAAGCGCTGTAACTCTCCTGAGCGGTTAGAGGCGAGGGGCATCTTTTGAGCTAGTATCTGGTCTCTGAGACAAAACTCCTAAATCCCTTGGCTTTTCCTGGATGAGAGAAGCATCATTCGTTCTAATGAAGTGACCTTGGTGGTCTCCCGGAGAGCTTCAGGATGGGGGTTGGGTCATCGGAAAGCCCAAGCCATGATTAGAAGCTTCAAACTTCCCACCCCTCCTCGAACCCCTGGGGAGGGAAGGGGACCCGGAGGTGGAGTTAATAAGCGATTATCCCCACGGGATAAAAACTCTACAGAAATCTATAAATCATCGGGTTTGGAGAGCTTTGAGGTTGGTGAGTTGGTCAAGCCCATGGGGACACAAGCTCCTAAGCTCAGGGCTCTTCCGGACCTCGCCCTGCGTACCCCGTCACCTGGCTGTTCATCCGTATCCTTCATGATGTCCTTTAATACAGAATAAACCGGTAACCTAAGTACAGGTCTCCTTGAGTTCCGGGGGCCATTCGGCAAATTATCAAACGTGCAGAGGGTGTTGTGGGAGGCCCTGATGCACAGCTACATCAGACACAAGTGTGGGTCACCTCAGAATCCACTACTCGCAACAGACACCCTGTGGGACAGAGCTGCTCCCCACTGGGATCTGAGCTGGAGAGCATTTTGTCACCTGCTGAGCACCTGGAAACAAGACCGGAGGGTCCTGATGATGAACACCGGGTGCGCCAGGGTTCCTGGGGACCCAGCAGGTAACCTTGCCGAGGCTGGATTCAGCTCTCCTGCACAGAGGCAGCCTCCCCGAGCCATCTCCCCCAGCAGCAGAGACCCCCCTGGGGTCGGGACGCGAGAAGGGAGGCCTGAAGGGAACACTTCCCCATCGGCAGCTTGAAAATAACTACTTTGTGCAAGGCAGGAAAAAAGACCTCGTTTGACTGGTAAAAATTTCCCACCAAGGGCTTCCTGGCCGGGTTAGGGTGCCACTGTGAGCCCGGAAAGTCTCACTCATGGCTGAGTCATGGGTCAACCCAATCTCGGGGAGCTAACATCCTTCCGAAGCAGGGGACTTCCAACAGCACTGTTTTCTCCTCACCCCCCCAGATCTTTATAAAGCCCCTTCGTGGGTCCCAATCATGTGAGCCCTTCATTGTGCCTTCTCTGTGCAAGGGGACCATCCCCGGGTGGGGTGGTAAGATGTGTACAAAGCTGGAGTCCTGTCCTCCAACAGCGCACTTCCCATAGGGACCTCAAAACTCAGAATGGTGACTCTTATGAGGAAAGCTCTGGAGAACAGATGGAACCATGAATGCAGAGTGTGGGAGTCAGGGAGGAGCAGCCAGCCGCTTTGGGGAGATGCTACCTTCCTACGGTAGTAAAGGAGGCAGTGTGCCCTTCAATTTTAAAACGGGGGCTCAGAGTTTAAGTGCTTTGCCGAGCACCTTGTCGGGCTGATGTGTCTGGCTGGGGGCAGTGGAAAGAGCGTGAACCCCAGGAAGCAAAGGTCCCCGAGAATGGTGCTACCCTAAGGTGCTACCCTTTCTTCCTTTAAAAGGCGACCATGCTCGTGGTCACCCCATCAGTCATTCACACTTTAGTATGAATTATTTCCTTTAGACACTGGGTTTATTTTTTCCCCTGAAGAATAGATGAGAGCCTGGGATGGAATTTGGTGATTCTGAGTGAACAGGACAGAAACCCCACTGTCCTCAAGGTCTGGGGCACAGTCTAGTCTCTCCTGACAGCATGAAGAAACAGAACATGCCCAGCAAAGGAGAGTGAGGGTCCCCTGAGGGACTGAGGGGTACCCACCCTCACCTCACAGAGCTGAACGCTAAACTTGGAGGAATTTTCTGAGCTGGTTGCTAAAGATGGCCATCATTAAAAATGCAATGGTCTGCACTTAGCAAATTATATTAAAAACAAAGGTAATAAGTATTTATAACTACTAACCCTTATCAACCTTTTAGGACTCTCCGAGATGCTGATGGACATTTATGCCTCCTGATGCTACCGTCTGGGGACAGTGGGTACCCTGGCTGATGGTTGCTTTTGTGCCTCTGGTTCCCCGCACCAGAAATCCACACCATGGACCACGGAAAGGGGCCGGCGGGACACACTGGAGAGACCACGGCAAGCCCCTCAGCAGTACATGGCTGCACAGAACCAACCCAGAGAGGCCACCTTACCTTGGCGGAGAACTTGAGATGGACTTCCGCCTCATCCGCAAGGCTCTTCTTCACCTGGGCCCATGCTTCTCCCAGGGACCTACAACACAAGGGAGAACATCAGACCCGGATCAGAGATCTCAGCAACCCCTCCCGGTGGGGGGGTGGATAGCCCAAACCAAGCTGAGGGGCAGGTGCTAGCAGAGGCTGGGGAAACATCTGGAAACTCAGAGAAGCCGGGGAGAGGCAAGAGGAAGATGGGGTACAGCCGCAGGCGGGGAGCCTGGACACCTGCGTGTTACTGTCACTGTGTCTTCCCGGGGCCCACCCCTGGCTCCTAGATGGACAGTGCAAATGCTTGTTGGTCTATCCAGGAAGAAGGCCAGCCGCCTTTTCAGGGAGAAGCCGTCTGCAAACAGAAGGTGCCACGAAAGGGTGCCTGGGTGGCTCAGTTGTTTAAGTGTCTGGTTTTGGCTCAGATTGTGGTCCTGGGGTCCTGGGGTCCCGGGATGGAGTCCTGTGCCAGGCTCTCTGCTCAGATAGGAGCCTGCTTCTCCCTCTCCCTCTGCCATTCCCCTCCCGGCCCCCGCCTGTGCTCTCTGGCTCTATCTGTCAAATAAATAAATAAAATCTTAAAAAAAAAAAGGGGTGCCGCAACAGCCCTGCCTGCAGATAAGCCTCCAGTGGTCAGACTTCCAAGGGGGAGCGGAGACAGACCCCCAGGCTGCCTCTCACAGACACCCACGCAGCAGGAAAGGCCATCCATCCTCCTCCACAGAGGCGGGGCTCCTGCCAGTCCTGAATCTGGGCTGGGAGCTCTGGTGCTGCCCACACCTTCCTGGAGGAGGACAGAGTCCTGAAAGCTAATCACTTTCTACTCCAAGGAGACGTCTCAAACAGAAGCGATCTCCCGAAATCCCCAAGGCTTTCACAAGCGGCCCTGGTGCCCTTCACGATTTGGAACCCCTGAGCCTCGATTTGCTTCCAGCAATACCCATGGGTCCTGGCTCCAGACCTCTTCCCCAGCCAGTAAACCCAGGCTGACCCTGCAGGTGCCTCCATTTCATCAAAAAGCCACCTGCCCCCCGAGAATCCATAAAACGTGAGTGGGGTGGCAAAGCTGATGTAAAAAGGCAGCATGGGCCTCCAGCGGGGCCACCAGCAGCTGAGAACTGCCCAAAAGAACAAAACAAGTCTCTGTGGCCACTGTCCCAGCCTGTCTGGTTGTGGTGCTGGCTCATGGGAAAGGAAAGGACTGAGCAATTCTTTCTAGGAGTCTGGCAGCAGAGAAAGGTCCCCTGGGGTGGTCCTGGCTGGGGATCCCTGGGGAGCTCATTGGAGAGTGGGAGTGAGGAATGGGGTGCTCCAAGCTGGTTTGCAAGGGCTTGAGCTTCTGGAAGCTGGGCGGCTTGGCCCCTCCCCCGATTTGGCAGATGGGTGGGTGGGGAAGGAGGGGGAAGGAGGGGTAAGGAAAGGAAAGTTGGGGGGAAGGAACAGTCGTGGGGGTCATGCCGATAGGAGAACAGGATACCAGGTCCAGAGACAGACACCCAGATACAGGCAAGTTACGTGTAACAAAGGGGCCAAGCAGCTCTGTGAGGGACGGAGGATGGTCTCAGCAAAAGGGCAGAGACAACTGTATATCCACAGGGCAAAAAAGAGAACTCTCGACCCTCACCCGATGCCCTACATGTGGATTATGTCAAGATGGATCACAGACCTAGAGCAAGAGCTGGGCGCCATGCAAAAGCAGGCCTGGGAGGAATGGGAACTCAAAAGAAGGCGGACAGAGAGTGTCTGTCCCTGCAGCCGAGCTACCCACGAGCCTACAAGGAAGAGCTCGGAAGCCAGAAGGGCCCTGGGTGGTCCAGAGTCTGAGCCTACTGTCAGCAGGGAACGAGTTCCATAAAATCCTGCCCCAGGACCGCCTTAGGAGCCTTAGAATGTCACCTGGGCGAGGCTGTGGGAAGGGGGAAGCCCAGTGTCAGGCTCCGGTCAAGATCCTGGCCCCGCCCCCAGGCTGGGCATTCACAGGTGGGCGGACACTGCTGCAAACGCCCAGAACTCCGCCGTCCACCTGCCCCCCCCACCCAACGCCAGAATTCCAGGCCCCCTGGAATTCAGGAGAAAAAAAAAAAAAGCAATTTAGAGATTCTCTCACTTGAAGACAGATTTTTTTCATCTGGTGAGAGGTTAATGAAAGAAATAAAACCTGACATACATTTCCATCACAATGCAGTCTGAGGCATGTCCAATGGAAACGCACGCCACTGTCACCATTACCAACGAGAAAAGACCCAAATCCCATTTCCTTCCCACACAGGCGAGAAAGACGGGAGACGGAATAAATAACCAGCGCACAGACCCTGCGGAATCGGACCTGGGCGCAGCGCCCGATGCCCGCCCCTCCCCCACCAGCATCTTCCTGGACTGCCCCAGGGTTCTGGGCTCCGGCACCCCGCTCATGTCCAAAGCTGTGTGTCAGTGCCAAACAGCACCGCTGCACATTGTGGGGGGGGGGGACCCCACGTGTTCACCCCTCATACACACACTCCGCTGGGAGGCGTGTGTGTGTGCAGCCACGACAGCAGGGGATGCGTTCATGACCATGTTGCAGGGGCACAGCGTGCATGCAGGCGAGCGGGCGTGTGCTGCTCGGCCTGTGTCTGTAAGGGCATGTGTGTGCACGGCGTGGCGGCGCAGGCCTGGCGCGTGCAGCGGGGAGCATATGCCGAGCCCGCTGGCTGGTTGCAGTGTCCTTGGCAGTGGCCCAGGCCGAGGAGATGGAAGCCGGAAGCCTCGAGAGCAGCACTGCATTTGCAGGGCAGGGGATATCTAAGAAAGCCTCCGTGCCAGGGTGGAGGGGGGACACCCCCCATGACCCCCTCTACTGACCCCACCCTCGCTTCCTACCCCCATCTCAGGGCCCAGTGGGCGGGGTGGAAGGGGGCCACCGGGGGTGGGCTCATTTCTGCAGAGGAGCCCCTTGGGCCTGCAGGGGCCGCCCTGTGGCCCACGGGGTCGGTGGCAAACCACACGGAGGTGGCCTCTTGGCTGCACAGCGAGCCCACGCAGAGAGGCCGGAATGAAAGCCACATGGGGCTGGCACAGCCGGTTCCCTGAAGGCTTCAAGGTGTGCGGGCGGCCCTCTGATGACCACAGCCACCCAGGACAGGACGACCTCCGTCCTCAGGACTCACTTCCCCTTGCAGGAGGGGTTCCAGCACAGCCTCCCCCAGAGCGAGGTAGGCACTGGGGAGAAGACCTGGCGGGGCCTTTCAGCTCTCCCCTCCCAAGTCCGGTTGCCTTTATGATGGAGGCAAAAATCCACCTTAGGTGAAACTAATTGTTTTAAAGAGGGCGATCCAAGGGCACTAGGTATACGCACTATACTGTGCAACTCTCACCTCTACCCTGGTCCAAAACATGTGTATTCCCGTTATGGAGCCCCCAAATCCATATGCTGAAGACCCACACCCCAAATTCATGTGTGTGTCCCCCCCAAAGTCACATGTTGAAGCCCTAAGCCCCATACCCCAGTGTAGCCCCAAAATTCATATGTTGAAGCCCTCAAGCCCCCACCCCAAATTCCACGTTTGTGTCCTCCCCAAAGCCACATGCTGAAGTCCTAAGCCCCCACTCCAAATTCATGTTTGTGTCCCCCCCAAACCCATATGTGGAAGCCCTAAGCTCTATACCCCAGTGTGGCTCCTCAAATTCATATATTGAAACCCTAAGCCCCCACCCCAAATTCAAATGGTGGTGTCTCTGCCAAAGCCACCCAGTGTGGCTGTTACTTGGAGACGGGGCCTCTAAGGAAGTAATTAAGGTCAAATGTGGTCAAAGGGGAGGGGCCTCTGATTCAATAGGATTCCTGTCCTTACAAGAAGAGACTCCAGGGAGCCTGTTCTCTCTCCACAGGGAGGGAAAACCATAGGGAGAAGGAGGCGACCTGCAACTCAAGAGGAGGGCTCATGCCAGACCCCAACCCTGCTGGCACCGTGATCTGGGACCTCCCAGCCTCCAGAACCAGGATAAATTACATTTGTGTCATGGAAGCCACCCGATCTGTAGGATTCTGTTACAGGAGCCCAAGCAGATGAATATGCACCCCCGAAAGGAAACCCCAAACCCGTGAAGCTGTTACCCTCCATTCCCCGCTCCCTAGGCAACCACCCACCTCATTCCACCTCCATGGCTTTGCCTATCTGCACATTTCATATAAATGGAATCCCATCACATGCACTCTTTTCATCCCACGTCTTTCACTTAGGATGTTTCTAAGCTTCATCCACACGGTAGCCTGGGTCAGGGCTGTTTCCCTTCTTACGGTGAAATAATACTGCATCACATATCCAGTGTGCATGGACACCATTTGTTCATCGGTCCGTCCCTTAATGGACCTCTGGATTGTTTGCCCGTTTTGGCTATCGTGGATCATGCTGTTATGAACACGTGGGTACATGTATTTTGTCTGAGTATCTGTTTTCAATTCTTCTGGGTCTGAACCTACGAGCAGAATTGCTGGGTCGTACGGTAATCCTGGTTCGTGTTCCTAGGCACTGCCAAAGTGTTTTCCATGGTGGAAAACACCATTTTACATTCCCAGGGCAGGCTTCAAGTCTTTGTCAAGAGATGAGCAGAGAAGCCTTAAGTCTTCCACCGCTAGGGACCCCTCTGTGGTTGGGAGGGTGGGACAGAGCCTCCCCCAGCCCAGGCTTGACCCAAGGAGGTCTGGACCACTGTAGCTGGAGAGGGAGGGGAGCCTGGGCTTCAGGCTCACGGGAGAGAATTCTAAACGAGGGCCTGGGTCCAGAATCCTCTCTCACCCGGTGTCTCACCAGCCTGCCCTCAGAGAGAGGGGTGCTGGGGTGAGTGTCTGGGGGGAGAGCGTCCAGCTAATAGGGCAGAATGGGTGGGAGGCCCTTGTCCACTAGAGAGAAGTTAATGTGGAATTTGCCCCCTCGGAGCCAGGTCTAGGCAAACTTCCCCATTTCAGTGGGACCGCGCAGGGATCAGGGATTGATGAGGAAGAATTCCCCCCTTCCTGTTGGTGGTTCCTCTCCATTCCCATCACCGTCCTCCCCACTCACCCTTCCTCCTGCGCAGCCAAGGAGTTCTGAGAGAGCTTAGCTAGGTTTTTCGCATATTCCTCTTCGATCTTTATCCTGCAAAGCGAGAAAACCCAACAGGTCAGCTCTCCAGTGCCAGATTGGGCAACCACCCACCTCATTCTGGCTCCGTGGGTCTGACCTGCAGTCCTAGCGCTTACTGACTGCAGATAGAAACCCACTAGACCACAGGCTCTGAGAGTTCAAGGCCCTTGTTTATCCACGCAATACACAGCAGGTGCTTAAAAAAATCTTCATTGGCTGGACAAACTTGCGCAAATCTCTATCTCCTCATCTATAAAAAAAGATGTTTCCATCTGTCTCCTGGGTCACGAAGAAGTGCTCCCATTCACACGGCTCCTAGCCCAGGGCTGCACACAGGAGGCCCTTAGATCAATGATGTAACTCATGATGGACCAACAGGGACCCCAGGGCTGTCTCCCTCCAGGCCCCAGAACCTGGGACCTAGGACCTCCTAAGTGGTGGCAGCCGCTGGGAAGCAGGAGCACCACCTCCCCCCTGCGGCCTCCCAGTGCCCCTCCTCCCTCCCTGTGCCTCCAGCTGTCAAGCCTGCAAGGGCACAAGTATTTCCATGGAAACCAGGCAGTGCCCAGAGCTGGGGCTGATCCCATTTCCCTAGAGAGGGAAGTTGCCTTGGATTTCACTTCCAACAGGGGGGCCCTTGACACACTTTCCAGGCAACTCTCTCGTGAGCGTTCTGTCTTATCTGGCCCGTGGTGTTCGAGTGTTGTCAAAGGCAACGCTCACTGCCTGACTGCTCCTCTGGGCTGCACTGGGACACCCGGGGCCACCCCTCTGAAGCCCCGAGCCCCATCACTCAGCAAATGGGGAAGCCCCAGAGACACTCCGAGGGCCGTAGCACCTGCTCCCGGCTGGCGGCTTCAGAAGCTGATGGCCTACAGGTGCGGTGATGTGGAATGGGGGTCCTCACCGAGCCCCCTGCCATCATTCTGAATAAGATTTTCTGCCTTGCCCCGAGAGACCCACAGCCACATTCCCTCTCTCACCGCTCTGCCCTCCCCGCCACCTCCGGTCGGGCTCCGGAGCCCGCTGGAGTCTCTCTCCTGTTCTGTCACTCCCTTGCCATCACTCTGCCCTCCCCAGGGTGACGCCGGTGGCCAGCATGCAAGCTCCAGCCCATGGCCAACACATCTCTCTCCTAGCTTCACATCTCCAAACCACCTCAATGCCAACCACACCTACCAGGCACGCCTTCCCCTCCAAGCCCTGCCCATCTGCCCTATGCCAGGGCCTCGGCAAGCCCCCAAACCCAGCACACTCCACCTCCGCTCTCGCCTCTCCTGGCTCAGGAGGGCCTCCCAAGAAAAGTCTGCATTGTTCACGGAAGGCCAGCATGTTCTGTAATGGCAGGTTCCATTTATTTGCTCACAGGACAAGTCAGGGCGTGTGTGTTCACACTCCACTCCATTCCCTGCCAGCGTAATAGCTCATAAAAGAGAGATTTGATGATACAAACAGAAAACAGGCCTCCTAAGGAAAAGAGGTGCTTTAAAATGCCAAAGAGTTATTATTACATTATTGTTATCATTAAAAAGCTTTCTTAAATACGTTGCCATTTGCTGTAAGTATGTCCAGCGTGCCCTAGAAACTCCGGGTGGCAAGTCGTGTGTATATGCGTGTGCACACGCGGGGTGTGTGTCTGCACGTATGTGCACGTGTGTGCTGGTAAGTGTGTACTTTACAGGATCTCAGACCTTGGAGGGACTGACAGGCGGGAAGGTGGAGAAGGAATTTTTTCTCCTTATACTTTTTCCTGTTTCTAACAGGCTGGATTGGTTTCCTCTTTTACATTCAGACAAACCATCCTTCAACAAAACCATTATTGTAGCCCCTGTGCTGGTCACAATGACCTCACCTGACGCTTCCATCTCACAGGAGCTCCCTGGATGCAGGGATGGGGAAGTGGGTTCTAGACGCCCAGGTCTGGGACACAGTTTGGGTTCAAAGATGAATTACAAGATAACATTCTCCTTTTTTGTTATGACAGGGACAGAGCTTCCAATGAGGGCCACACAGGAAAGTCAAGGAGCTAAGCAATCTGTGTGGGCAGACAGTAGGGAGTGGTGGAGACTGCGGCAAACCAGACCTCAGGCTCCCTCTCCAGGGCGTTGCCATCTGGCTCTGGCCCATTGTTGTGTGAGCCGTTCTTGCCAGACTTTCGGCCTTCTCAAGACAAGCCAGTTGGCCAGCTTGTAAGGTAAGATCTACCCATTAAAAAACAAAAAATGTTAGTCCAAACCTTAAACCGAGGTCTTAGCAACACATCTGCAAGTTAGATCTGTCCTAAGAGTCACAGCTGGTGCCCTGGGTCTCACGTTCCCCATGGCACAAGCCAGGCCCAGTGCTGGGCGGCCAGTGCTCATCCCAGCCGCTCCCCGACCTCAGACTCGGAGGGGCCAAGGGGGTGCTGTCTGTGGCCGTGGAAGCTGGAAGGGGCGTGGGCCTCACCTCTCCCGGATGAATTCTGACATTTCCTTCTGCATCTGCTTGCCCTTCAGTTGCTTCTGAAGCAGGAGCTCAAACCCAGCCACCGTGCCATTGCCTTGGGGGTCCTTCTTATCAGCCTAGAAGGGACACAGAAGCACGAGACATTAGGTGACAGGGGTGTCCAGAGCGGCAGGGAATGGAGCGTGGGGAAGGCCGTCCCCAAAGGGAACCAGGTGCCCCTGGAGATGGGACCTCAGCCCAAGAGAGAGGCTGTGCCCACTGTCCCACCTTGTGTCTCTCCTGCTGCCCCCACCCCCACCTTCACGGCACACTCAGACTTGAGCCCAGCAGCTGCTGCCCCTCCCCCACGCCCATGACCTTCGATTCTCCCAACCTGGGAAAGAAGAGGAAGAAGGGAGAGTGGCCAGAAACAGCAGCTCCCATAGGCCAACACCTACTGCTTCCCTCCAGGTAGCTGCTGAGGCTGGCAGGAAGCTCTGGGGAGTCTTGGTGGCCTGATACTCAGCTGGGACAGTCTGTGGCCTGAGGGGCAAGTGACCCTCACCGTAAGCCCTCTGGTCTCCTGTCAGCCCCCTGTACTGGCCAGGCAGTGGCACCCTCTCACATTCGTACCAGATCATAGGGGCTTCCGGGAGAGACCCGATTGAAGGGAGGCTGGAGCTCTGGAAAAGGGCAGGGTGCCAGGGTTGACATCCCAGCTGGGAAGCCTTGGGCGAGCTCTCCCCTCTGTCCAAGCCTGAGTGGCTTCATCTGTGAAGCTGGGGAATACTGGTGCCTGCCTCTGGAGGTCATTTCGGGATAAGTGACCTCTGGAAACGGCTTGGCACAGTGCTCGCCGGACACTAAACGCTCGGTAAGTGCTATCTAATATTTGTCCACTTTTAAGTAAGTTGGGACTCGGAGAAGATCTTCGGCCAAGTCAATGAAATGAGAGCTCAGTACTGAGTCCATTTTGCAAGCAAATACTCTCAACATTTCAAAACTTAATGTTGTCTTTTGTTTTGCTTGCACTTTCCTCAAGGACACCTGAATACCTCTTTCTTGCCTGCCCCTCCCCCAACGTCCTGCCTTCTGCCCAGAAGCCCCTAGGTTCACCCTTCCCTACAGGACATTCATTTCGGCTCTGAGACTTCCCGGGTACCCCACCTAAAGCCGTGGTCTGCCCCATTACAGCCCTTCCCCATCAGGAATGAAGAGTCAGATATTGGTACTTAATGGAAGGGGTTAAAAAGGCATCTTTTGATATCAGCAGGTGCATCAGTGAGGACCCTGTCCCAGGGTCCAAAAGACCTAGTCCTTGTCTCGGCTCAGCCTCCGGGTGACCCAGTCAGGCCTTCCCAATCCTAGGTTGTATCCCCCGCCCACCTATCCCCCTTTGCAATAGGACTGAGTTGCATCTCTAAGACCCCTTCCAGAGCAGTTTTAGGAAAAGGGAATTCTGGAAAGGGGTGGGTGATGCGTGGAGAGAAATCCACTTCCTATCATCAAGCATTTAAAAAGTTTATGGACATCCTCCCACCAACCCCCTTCCCCCACCCCACAACGTGGGATCCCCTTTCCTCAGCTGTCCTGACACAAAACCCACTGGGCCATACTGCTAATACCTCCTGGGACTGGGAGATCAGTATCCCACAGGACACACCAAGTCATGGGGCAGCTACTCCGGACAATTAAAAGCTTCTCCAAGTACTTTTAAGCTTAGTACATTTCATCGTTCCCAGGGCTCCCCAACAGCCCTGCGTGAAACCCCATGCGAGCTGATCTCCAGCTCTTGTGGTGGGCACTCCCAGGGCTCCAGCTAGTCTCCCCTGAATGCCCCCCTTCCTGCGCCCCTCGTTAGGGACGACGTCTCTAAACTCAGCCACTTCTCTGTAGCTGCCACCATCCCTCCCTGACTCCCGCACCTGCGGCTGACGTCCACCGTGCCCTCCTCGCAGCCCTTCCCGCACGCTGCTTCTAAACCACATCACATCTTATTCCAACAGCTTCCGACTGCAAACAGAAGGAAACCCAGCATGCTCCCGGGACCTACAGAGTCTCGTACACTCTGACCTCCGTGGCTCCACAGAACCCTCCTCACAGTGTTTGCAGCCCCTGTCCGCACAGATCTCCCTGAGATCTGGAAGAAACACGGGGGGGCCAACAGGAATTGCCAGGCATCTCTGACAGCCCAAGTGACTTGTCAACGGAACACAGCACTTCTGTCCGGTGTTTGGCTGGCAAATCTAAAAACGGGAAGCAATCCGTCCCGCACGGTGGGGAAACAGCTTTTATTCTGTTTATTTATTGTTTCTCAGGGTCCCTGCAAAAGTTGTGTTTTTGGGATTTTTTTCCTCCTAAAGTGTACAATTTGCTGGCTTTTAATATGTTCACAAGGCTGAGCAACCGTCAGCACTATGCGAATCCAGAAGGAGGCGATCGCACTTTGAAAGTCACTGCAGACTTAAAATGTGCACGCCGAGGGCTATTCCTAGAGTTTCTGAGCAGGCGGGCCGTGTATTTGTCAAAAGATACCTATTTAATTGTGCGAAAATACACCTAAGATAAAACGTATCATCTTTTTTTTTTTTTTCTTTTTTTCAAGTAGGCTCCATGCCAGCCTGGAGCCCAACACGGGGCTTGAACTCACAATCCTGAGATCGAGATCTGAGCAGAGACCAAGAGTCAGACGCTTCATCAACGGAGCTGCCTGGGCGCCTCCACTCAAGTTGGCTCTAGTCTCCTGCCCTTACCAAGCAGCCGGGAAGTAACCCTCCTACTTATCCGTGTTGTCCTGAACGCAAACCCTGTCGATTCTCTGAGATTTATGGAATAATCTGGACTCCAAAGAGGGTCTTTAATTTCTCCCTTGGATGCTCAATCTACCAGCAGGTTTTGGCAGGAGCGGACCCTCTCTTTTGAGCTCCAGACCCTTCGTGCCCCTTCTGGGTGTCCTCCAGGGGTGGGAGGAGGGGATGGTGGTGTCACACAGTGGGGGAAACTGAGGCACGCTTACCCAGAAATAGTCACAATAGCTCCACTCGGTCGGTTTCAGCAGCTGTTGCTCTGGCATCGTGTCTGGGTGAGGAAACGTCACGCAGTTTATCTGCAGGGCACAAACAGGAAAGAAAATGCCTCGTCTGCAAGGCTGGGAGCCTCCAAGAAGGCTCTGCCCCCGGGACACAGCATTGCCGAGGTCTCCCGTCAGCGCCAGCTTGAGAGAATGTGCCCTGAAGGCTTGGGGATGCTCCAGGGGCTCACATTTCAGGTCAGGGGCAACAGCACCCACCCCCACCCCAATGGGGCCGGAACCGGTCCCAGTGCTCTGAAGGGCAGTGTAACAGGACTTCTCAAACCCACAAACCAGGGACTGCAATTCGGAAAAGGGCGCTCTGCGGACGTTATCTGCGTGTGTGTGTGCAATGACACATGCACACAGCCTTTCAGACCATCTGTAGCAGAAAAACACAGCCCCAGGAGCAGGGGAGTGGCTAAACAGAGCACAGGATGGTGGTGGGGCGGGGTGGGGGGGAGAGGAGTACGCCTCTGGGGGTTTGCATGGATAGCTGAAGACACCGGGACAAAGTCTAGGTCCTATGACTCAGCGGGAGGAAAAAAGGCAAGATATCAAATAGTATTTAGAGTTGCTACCATTTGTGGAGGGGGGGAGGAAGAGAAAATATGGACACATTTGGTTATTTATGTATAGAATCCTAGAAGCTGAGGACATCCCGGGCTTCCAGAGACAGGAACTAGGCAGCGGAGAGGTTACCGTGTGCATTTTAATCACTGTATGTATTCTACAGACAAAGAGTTGAAAGCGATCACGCAGGACGGGTGCTTGGGGCTGGCCCTCGCCCAGGAGAGGGCAGTGCAGACATTCCTGGGGCCTGTCTCAGACCTTCCTGCCCGAGCATGTCCGCGACGTCCTGGCTTTCCCCGCCAGGTGGAAACGGTTTTGCCACTTCTGTTGCTGGTGTCGCTTCAAGCCCAGGATCTGCTTCTGGGGAGCCCGTTCAGGGAGTTTTTTTATGGGAGCTGCAGAACCTTGGGGAGCCCGCACCTGCTGATATGGGAGGAACGGTGCAGAAAGCCCTGGGGCTCTGGACAAAGGCCACAAACTCCAATGCGAGGCAGCCGTGCAAAGGGGCGAGGGGCTGCCTGTGTAGAAGCCGCAGTTTGGGTGGGGGTGACCGGCCTCCGCTCTGGGAAGGGGCAGGGGCTGCGAGATCCTTCTAACGAGCAGATTCCTCTTGGCTCCTGAAAACTGTTGGCAAGCCGGCAGGAGGAGCCCGGTGGGTCGCCAGTCGGGTGACACGACCCAAGAGGGGCTGCCAATCGGGATGACTGCGTGAAGCATCTCCACGTTTAAAGGTCGGCATATAATTCAAAGTTAATGGGAATAACGGCAAGGACATCAACAACAGCAGCGCGTCAGGCAAAGAAACTTCTCTGCAAGCTAAGTCAGACCCACGGGCCCCCAGCCTTGACCTCGGGGTTCAGGGGCTCACGGGATGCTGAGTACATGTCGCATGGGCATCGTCCCACATCCCGCCCCGGCTGCCAGGAGCCTGGGTCTCTCTTGTGGTCCCAGCCAAGGACAGGAGTGCCCTCCTCCGGGTTACACACACCTGGTGGAAGGAAGGGCCGAGATGCCCGTCCGGAGGGAAGCGTGGCGCGGCAGGAAAGACCAGGAGCAGGAAGGTCCCAGAGAACCCTGGAGATGGGGAGCGTGGAATTTCCCCAAGGTCAAGGAGGGAGGCCCCAGGGTGGGGAATTTCCTCCTGGTGCCTCCCGGAGGGGGAGGGCCAGCCTCTCCATGATGCCCAGCGTCAGGCAACGGTCTCCTCAAACCTTCTTTTCAGGCTGACACCCTCAAGGGGTGCCCAGAAGGGAGTCTCCCACTAAGGCTTTGACAATCATGGAAACAAGGGCCAGATTCCAAAGGTTCGCATATTCCTTATTTCACCGGCTGGTTATTCTCTTTCTACAAATACCTGCGATCACAGGACACCCTTGTTTTGCTTAATAATGGGGTCTGTGCAAATTTCAACGAAATCCAATGACAGATCAACAGAGACATTAGATCGGGTGTTAAGCATCATGGAACTAGGGGGACAGAGGTACTTAGAAGAGGACACAAATGTCTTTTAGAGCACCCTGTTGGGGGCTAGAGGTGAGGGGGGATGGGGAGAGTGAGGTCTCATCCCTGTCATTGCTTTTACCACTTTGTGGGGACACCGGTCCTTGGACGGACCGGCCAGGGGCCCCAGGGTGCCTGTCCCTGCCTCTCCCAGCTCTGGTTTGGGGATGTCTGCTCCTGACTGGCCCACAGGGATAAATTACCCCAATGCTCCTCTGAGCCCTGCACCCCTGCCAGCCCCATGGGGGGAGGCAGTTGTAACCACGGGAAATCCCTGGGAAGCCCGTCCTCAAGGACCCCACCAGGAGCCTTGCACGCATTCCCGTGTCATCGGTCATCGTCCCGGCCGTCAGTCACGTTGCTACCCGTCCACTGACTGCGTGCAAACGTTTCTCGTGTGCCCCTCGAGATGCTGCTAGATCTTTCCAGCACTTAGCACACATACATTTGTAATTACGTTTCTCACAACCGTTTAATCAGCCAGACCGTCTGTTCCACAAGGGGAGGGAGACCCTTTCCCTGCTGCTTCCCTCATCCCTGGTAAATGGAGGTCCCTGGGGCGGCTCAGTAAGCATTTCTGGTGCAGGCCAGAGGCGGACGGAACAATCTCTGTACTCGGCGACTTTACAGCCTCATGAGGAAGCAAACAAGTACGTAAGAGATTGCACGGCTCGGGGATAAATCTACCACTGGTGATAAGCCTCCCTCGATATGCAGGACCACTGCCCACAGCGGAGAGGCTCCCACCCAAAAGAAGAACATGTAGAGAAGCCTTTCCCCATGGAAACTTCCCAGGCGTGGAGTTCCGTGCCTCCTGGGGAGCCACTTTCCAGGTTAACACCATATCCGGGACAAAGCCTGCCCTCCTCCCAAGGCCTCCGGGGCACAGCGAGAGCCCGGATGGCATCCTCCTCCCCTCAAACATGGGGGACATGCTCAGGAACTGCCTTCTGCTCCAAGAAGAGCTGAAAATGTGCCAGCCGTTGCCCTAACTGCTGTCCCCGCCAGGCAGATTCCATTATTAGCTCCATGCTACAGAAGAGCAAACTAAGGCACAGAGAGGTTAAGTAACTTCTCCAAGATCACACAGCCTGTGTGTCGCGGCAGAACCCATGTCTGAAGTCAGGCAATGCAGCTGTTTTTAGCTCTCATCATGCTATCTTCCACACACCCCACCCACGGCAGGGGCTCGGGTAGGAAGGGGTGCTCGACAGGGAGCAGGAGAGGGGTATGGAGAGGGAGAGGAGCAGTTCTGGGGGGGTGACCCCCACCCTCGCTCCTCTGAGGCCACCGTCGTCCACCAGTAGCATCTTCACGCTGACACCATTTTCTCCAACCCGAGGATAAATAGCGGAATCCCTTCCCTGCCCCATGGTCCCTTGCCCAGCTACCTGGTAGCTAGCTCTGTGTTTGCTTATGGAGGGAGGCTGATGTGCGAGGGTGTGCAAGATTGGAACTCAGAGCCAGGGTCTGTGCAAGCAGAAAAGACCCCAAGGGCTCACCTCCAGCCCACCAGCCCCCCGCCCCTCCCACCAGGGATCCAGGGCATCCGATGGGCCACACGAGGAAGCGGGGGCTGAGGATGACGGGAGTCCCCCAGACTCCTCTTGAGGGCTGGGAGAAGCCATGACTGCCGGTCAGTCCTAATCAAGCAGCCCACTCAGAGCCTGGCCCGGCCCAAAGCTCGCTCCAGGCCAGCCATGGGAGGGGAAGCTGGAATGCCAGAATCGAGCTCAATCCGGACTCTATCGGGACGCAGCCTGGGATCTTCTGCTGCCCAGCGAGCAACTCAGCGAATGCCTGCAAATGTCCGCTCCATGGGGTCGGACGACGTGGGAGACTGCTTTCTCCCCCCTCCATACCCCGTCCCCACCCGCCCGGAGAGGTTAGCCGGTGCCCCAGGAGCCCGACATCCCTCCTTCCCCCTACCCCGTCCAGCGGCCCTGCAGGGTCTCCTCCCTGGGAAACTATGAGCTCTGGAGGACCGGAGCCCCGAGGGAGGGCTGGGAACGGGGCAGGGGGGAGGGAGGGCTATGTGGACGGGAAGGAGCAGCAGCACACAGGCCTTTGCTCATCTCCGCCCAGACACATCATCTCTGCTCCTTGCCCGCTCTGTGCCCTCTGGGCAGACCCTCCTGTCCTCAGTTTCTCCAGCAGAAATTCCCTGAGGCTTAAGTGTTTATTTAAAACCATGGTCGGGGGGAGTGTTGGTGACAGTGCAAACGTCCATCCAGGCTGGGCTCCAGATCAACTAAGTGTCGGTCTAGGAATCTATCAAGGAACTTGCATTTTAAACAAGTGTCCCAGAGGCTTCGGCTGCCTACTCCACTTTGCTGGCTCGCTCTAGAAGCTCTGATTTAGGTCAGCGGGAAGGAAGAGGGAAGACGCAAGGCAGGGGACAGACAATGAACCGGAGGAGACCCTGACCAAGAGCCAAGTTCTAGCCCAAAGCCAGGGCGCAGCAAGTGACTCAGGCCTCACCCCAGGGCCACCAGGACCATCCCCACCAGCAAAGTGCTTTCCACTCTGCATTTGTCCTTTTTACTTTTCTTCTGTGATTCTCATATACCAGCCCCTCCTTCTCCCTCTTTTGCACCATTCCGGGGAACTTTATAGGGAGGTTCGTGCTTTGCCTGGGGTATTTTGTGGCACTAGGAAGACAGTCTGTCCCTGGGTCTGGCTCACGTCCTGCCCCAGGCCCCACTCTCCTCCACAGACAACCTCCACAGGCCAGGAGAGCACTGGTCTCTGAATCCCGATGCATCCCAGCTGGGCCAGGCATGGCTGCCTGCCTCAGTTCTGCCATCTATAAACAGGGTCAAGAAGATGAGTGTGCACTGAGCACTTACTTACTACATGCCACGCTCTGTTTTAAGTGTTTTCCCATATACAGACTCATTTAGTCTTTACCCTATCCCCAGGGCAGAGATACCCCCCATCTCCCCATTATACAGATGTGGACACTGAGGCACAGTAGGGCAGAGAAACTCACCCCAGGCTGCTGTACAGATAGTAGGTGCTTTAACAGGCACCCCCAGCCCCAGAGCCTTCATTCACAGTCACCACACGAGGTTGGTCCCATACCTCCACCTCACACAGGGAGTGGAGAGCTCAGTGAGCCCCTCAGAACACTACAGGTGCATACTCAGTGTACACTAAAAGGGCAACAGTTATTGTTGCTGCTGTCACTGTGTATCCAACCCTCTCTTTTCTCCCAGAGCAAGATTTTCAGCCTGCACGAGCCAGGGAAGTGGACCCACTCTCGGTCTCATCTCCGAGGGGATGGTCAGAACGGCTCCTGCCTCTGCTGGTGCCTAGGGGAGCAGGACCCCCATTCCCGACTCCCCTGCACTCACGACCAAGCAGCCCATCCAGGACCACACTTCTCATGTCCCCAGGTTACTGCAGCCTGAGCACCCACACAAGGTGTTTGCCCCCTTTCCCCAACACGAGGCTGGTGTGTGTGTGTTGGGGGGGGTCCTCCTCAGCTCGCCTGTGGGGGCTTGGCGGGCTTCTGGAGGAGCGAGGCGGGCTGGCCACCCCAGGCAGGGGCTGCCTGCTCCTGTCCTCCCGTCCGGAACTCTATTCTTAGGGTGCTTTCTCTTGTTTTTAACTTCGACATCTTCCACAAGTCACCCCGTGCTAAAGGAACCTCACTGTGGCTGTAATTTACATGTCACATCACTCCGCAGAGCAAGGCCCACCCCCTCCAACCAGCCTGGGCATGTGTACCACCCCCCCCCCACCGCCCGCCCTGCAAAAATGGCTTCTGCATCATTCCCACCCGCCTGCACTCGGTTAATCCGGGAGAGAAAAAAGTGAAAGGTGAAATTAACAGGAGACATGGGGCAGGGGATGGGGGTAGACGGGGGGGGGGGTTAGGGGGCAGGCAGGGAGAATTTCGGCAACATCCAAGCTTTGGAACTTCCCAGATGCCAGGCTGAGATTGCACTCAGCGGTCCATATTGCCATGGCAACCGCCCAGCACGGCAGAAAAGCCCCAGCTCACCCCAACCTGTGGGCCCCCCCTCCCCCAGAAGTCGCTTACCGTGATGGTGTTTTCCTTGTTCTGCTTTTTGCCTGGTGAGGAGGATCCCAGGTTCTGGGGAGAGAGGCAAGAGACATCATCGAAGCTGTTCTCCATACTGGACATTTCGGGTTTCTATTCGGGGCTCCCCGAGAGCCCCGTGCTGGGGAAGTTCAGGGACGCGTGTGCTCCCATTAACCCTTAAGTCACCATATTCTGGAAGAGGGCAGGCGGGAGTGTGCCTGACGCCACAATGCTCCTGGGGGGAAGGGAGTTGGCTGGGCTTGCAGGTGAATGAGTGCAAGGAAGCCTCCAGCACAGGCTCCAAGGGAGCAGCGCCAAACCAGGTCTCCCTCCTCTTCTCCCAGCCCGATTTGGGGAACGAACACGTCAGCTGCCCTCTGCTGGTGAACCGTTCTGCATGCTGCCTCAATGTGCAGACGCTGCCCCTGGGGGGAGCAGAGAGTTAAAGCAGGCCACCAGCCCCTGGCTCCAAGGACTCAGAACAGGACTTCTTACTTTGAATGCCCCCGGGGTCCGACATATCCAACCCTCAACCGTGCAATCTGCACGGGGCCCCCGGCCAGCTCCGTGAGGTGCTGCTCTCCCGACCCTGAGAGGCAGGAGAGATTTCTCAGCACAGATGCCTTCCTGCTTTTTCATTCATTCAGCCTTTGGATTGCCTTTTTATGTCTTTCCACTTCCAGAAAATAAGCCACTGTCCCAAATACCTCCGAGCCCACGCGTCCCGAGCAGCTTGCCCCAGTCCCAGGATGGTTCTGGGACAGAACATTAATGATTACCAGCTGAAGACACCACCCTGGTCACAGGAGACTAGGACCCTAAAGGGGAGAATGGTCCATTCTGGGTCTTCGTTGCCCTGTTAGTAGCAGTTTCATTAGTAATTCAAGAGGGTCTCCGAGCTGGGCATGCATTGGCCATTCTATCCTGAGCCACTCAATGACTGGGGAAGCGGGCTCACCAAGGCACTGTCGGGGCCATTAAAGGCATGTACTGGGACCCACAGCCTTCTTTCTCTGGCAGAACCTTAGGATGTGAATGGCAGAGAGGTTTCCCAGCCAGCCTTGGGAAACCAGCGGTCCCCCATCCCATCCCATCCCATCCCATCCGAGGCCAGCACAGCCCTTGACCACCAGCAGGATGAACATCTGGGCAAAGGGGTCAGCCCTGCCTCAGGAACCCCTCTGCTCAGCACACAAAACAGGGAGCCTAACAGAGCCCTGCTCACGGTCTGCTCATCTCTTTACTCCTGTCCAGACCCACCCGGGCTGGTAAGGAAAGTCTGTTCATGGACCCCAATATCCTAAGAGCATTGCAGACAAGAGTCCCCTCCCAAGTCACATGACTTCTCTCCCTTTCGCTGGTTGCTCTCAGTGGTCCACAGGCTTTGGAGGGCGTAAGAATGAGCAGGAATTGGCCCTAAATCGGGTCGCAGCAGCACCTCCCAGAGCTGACCCAGCAGCTCTCCGGGGAGCCAGCACCTCTGAAGCAGAGCCTGGTGGCCTCTGCTGGGGACACACTGATCTACGTTCTGCTATGCATCAAGGCTCCCCTACCTCTAGCAGTCACTCCAGCAGCCCCAGCAGGCTCTGGGGCGACCTCAGGCTTGTGACCAACAACAGCTTCTGCAGACATTTTCAAACCATCAGTGCATCCAGTTCACCTACCCTGGACCCTCCTGGGCTATCAGTGGTACCCCAGGGCATTTGCCCAAACTGGGCCACCGGGGAGGAGGACGGAGGCCACGAGGTAGGAGCTCAGGTGCTGCTATCCTGCGACAGAGGCAGGGATCTCCTGTAGGCTCATTCGTGCCAGGGAGGGGGCTGAGGGAGGGGAGCCTCGGGTGTGGTCAGCAGAGGAAATTAGAGCCCCAGGCTGAATATCGCTTCCCTCTATATTCTTCCAGCTCCCTATGTGGAGGCGGGGGACAGCCTCTTCTTTTCCAAGCGTGTCTGCAGGGGTGGAGAAAGATCTCCATCACCCACAAACCCAGATTTGGGGACCACTGTGTCTGAGGCTCTATGGAAGGAAGCCGGACACAGAGGTGGCCATCCTCCCTGTAACTCGGGCCAAGACAGGAGTGCAAGTAATGGTATTGTCGGGGGGCATTGAGTGTGTGGGTGTGACCACCTTCCCCCTCTCTGCCCTCCTGGTGGGGCGGTCTCAGCCAGGGCTGACCAGCAGATGACCCCAGGCTCTTCTAGGCACCCTGGGCTCTGAGCTTGCTGCTGATAGCCTGTGACTTTCTTCCAGCATCATCCACATAAATATATGTCATATATATACCATACACATACATGTCCACATCTCTCTCTCTCTCTCTCTCTCTCTCTCTCTCTCACACACACACACACACACACACATCCCGGTAGCACTTCCCGAAAGGGCCCCAAAGGAATGACTCCTCCATCACTGGGAGACCACCTACTAGCTGGAAGTTGGTTTCTAAATATTATTCCATACTAAGAGGAACCGGGCTCCTTGGGAGAAATGGTTCATTCCAGATGTTCCAGATCTGGAATATCTTATTATTATTCTGGGAGGTTAGAAACCATGTAAAGAACGATATGATCTACGCAAAAGGACCCTGGCGCCAGCAGAGAGAAGTTCCAACAAGCCAAATTTGGGACAATTTGAGCCTGATTATGAATAATGACTACAAATGAGTAACTTCAAAAGGTGGGGGGGGAGTATTTCTTTATGGAAGAATGCCCATAAAAATGGATAAAGCATCCCCAAATCACCATTTTTAAAAAAGATTTTATTTATTTATTTGACAGAGAGATCACCAGTAGGCAGAGAGGCAGGCAGAGAGAAAGGGGAAAGCAGGCTCCCTGCTGAGCAGAGAGGCCGATGTGGGGCTCGATCCCAGGACCCTGAGACCATGACCTGAGCCGAAGGCAGAGGCTTAACCCACTGAGCCCCTCAAAATCACCATTTGCAAACCCCAAAGTCAAAAATGGATTCAGGCCATGGTCACCAAGGATGCTCAAAGGACTGAATGAAAAGCCTGTGAAGGAACAGGATATGCCCATGGTCTCACCCTGTCCCCCTCCCCAAGCCCCCCGCCCAGACTGCCGGCTAATTAGAAAGGGAAAACGTACCCTTACAAAGGGATCATCGCATTAAAAGGGAGCTCAAACTCCCAGTTAACATCGAGGGTAGGATGCTAACCTGGGAGGCCCCAGGTGGTAGACCTTCTTCCCAGAGCTGTTAGCCCCGAGTCTAAGCAGAAGAAAACAATTACACTAAGCACGTGGGTCATTCTAAACTGACCCAGACTCTTCCTAAATAGAGTCACCATGCGGTAAGATGGAAGACCAAATGTGTGGCGAATACAGTCTAGATTAAAAGAAGCTAAAAGCCAGAAATGAGAGGAGACGGTAAATCCCCAGACGGAATACTATTGGGCCATAGAAAAGGAACACCGTTGCTAACACACCTGCAACATTCACAGCCCTTGAAACACTGTTGTAAGGGCAAGAAGCCAGACCCAAAAGACCACATGGGGTTCAAGTCCATGTATATGCAGAGGCAAATCCACGGAGGTAGAAAGTACATGCTTTTGGGGATTCTTCCTGGAGTGATGAAAACGCTCTAAAATTAATTGTGATGATGGCTGTGTAACTCCATGACCTCTACACTGTGCATCTATAAATGGGCAAATTGTAGGCTGTGTGAACTTCACCTCAGTATCTCGATAAAGGGGGAAACAAAAGAGAGCCAGCCAACAATGTATCAACGTACATGCGAACCTGGAATGGACCCTGCACTGGGGAGAAAAGCAGCTATAAAAGACATGTTGCGGACAAGAGGGGAGTTTGGATATGAATTATAGATATTAGATGATAATACCAAATTAATGTCTTCTTATGTGGGCTAATGACACTAAGGTCATGCCTTCCCCTACCTAGGTATACTCTGAAATGTTCCCAATTAAAACAATATGTCAGGGGGTGCCTGGGTGACTCAGCTGGTTAAGCGCTGGCCTTCAGCTCAGGTCCTGATCCTGGGGTCCCGGGTTCGAGCCCTGTGTTGGGTTCTCTGCTCAGCAGGGAGCCTGCTTCTCCCTCTCTCTCTGCTACTCCCCCCGCTTGTCCTCTCTGTCAAATAAATAAATACAAAGTAAAGTAAAATAAAATAAAACAATATGTCAGGACTTAGCTTTCAAATAATCCTGGGGGAGGGGGCAGGGGGAGGGAATGGGGATATAAATGAAACATGATTGGATCAATAATCATCACAGTGAAATGACTAGTCCCTAGGACTTTATTATACCATGCCTTCTACTTTTCCGAATGTTCGCTAATGTGCATAATAAAAGTTCTTTTGTTGTTGTTGTTGGGTTTTTTGTTTGTTTGTTTTTAATGGCTGTTGCCTGTGGTTCTAGAAAGTTGTACTCCTTTCCTTCTTAAAAGTCCCTCCCCAGCCTGGTCCCCTCCTCTGGCCTGGGCCACTGTGGCGTTCCTGTGAGGTGAGGACCCACGGGGGATGGTGGCCTACAAAACAGAGCTGGAGGAACTAGAGCGCGCTGTTCACACTGACCCACAAGCCCAGGCGGGGCGGGTCTTCTGACCCTCTCTCCCGGCGCCGTGAATAGCCTGGGTCCCACCTCCTCGGCAGGCGGGATCCAGAATGAAACCTCTCAATGACTTCCTGGCACCACTGGAATAAACCCAAACTCCTCACAACAGGCCTGTGCTGACTCCTCCAGGTCCCCCACTTCCACCCTCCCTGCACCTGCTGATTCAGTAAATCACAGCCCCGTCAACCTCTGCAGGTTTGTTGAAATGGCTGCTCTCCTTCCCCTCCTCTAGGCATCCACATGTGCTGTTCCCTCCACCTGGAAGGCTATTCCCCACCCCCACCCTCGGCTAAGCTAACCCCTCCCTCATTTGGCCAGTCTTAGCTGACCATGTTGTCTTCTAAAGCTCATCACTGATGTTTCCAGCACCCCCACGGCCACCTGAGCAGGTGCCCAGAGCACACACTTCCTCTAGCGCTTACCACGGCCAACATGAAATCTCCGGTCTTCTCTGGCACCAGCTATAAGCCTCAACCAAAGCAGGGGCTCTGTCTGCCTGTGACTCAGTGCCTGGGCCACGAAAGAGATGCTCAAAGGAACACATGTCACTGGACTGAGGGGGGGGTTCCCGTTAGGTGGGTGAGTTTCAGCATCTTATCTCCACCTCAAGCCCCCTTCTCCATTCCGACGCTTAAGTTTCCAAGCCCTTGGTCTCACCTGTTTCTCCTCTCCCATATAGGAAAGCAGGACAATGGAAAGGGTTTCACAAAAGGGCATGGGCTCATCCCTCGCCTGCTCCACATGCACAGGGATCAGAGGGATCCCACCACGGGGCAGGCGGGCAGGGACAGGCCAGGACGTGCTTCTGCAAAGGCCAGCGAAACTCAGCCTCTGATGTCCCAGCTCCCCAATCCGGTGGGCCCCATTTATCCCATGTCTGGGAAGCCCACCCCAGGGTTGCAGACCAGAAACCTCCACTGGGTGGCGCCAGATCCCCACCACTTGTGCCCAGCCATCTGGACTCCCAGGACTGGGGGAGAAGAGGGCAGTCCAGCCCGAGACGGGAGACAGTGGGGACACGTTCCCCCCCACATTGTCATTTCCCTGATAAGCTTGCTTGAGGGGTACCGGCTCACCGAAAAGAGAACACACAGGGCTTGGAGCATACCCTGGGCAAGCGTTTTGACCTGCCCCCAACCCTGTATCTCAAATGGCCCTGTGCTCGTTTTCTCATTCATTCATTCTTCCGGTATTACTATGCCTTCATCGTTGTCCATTATAACTGGCAGCCCGGGACCGCGTGAGTCAACGCTACGCATGCTCCAGGGCGCTGTATATATCAGGGATCATCTGTTGACAACACTCTGCGTAAGCACTAAAACTTCTCATCCTGTTTCTATGATTGGCCCCAAGCACCTTTGTGGAGAGCCTTGCACGGCCTAAAAAAATGATACGCTACCTTCCAGTTCTGGGAACTGGTGAGCGACCATATTTGCTCTCTCCGTGCTGCGTTACTTATTCCTGTTACTCCGACAATACCTCAACTCTCCCCGTTATGGTCCAGAAAGAATGCACTCCCCCTGCTCCTTAAAGCAGCCGCTCCCTTCCCCCTCCTGGGTCTCCACAGCGGGATGGCCCCACATCCCCAAACACGGGTAGCCTGCTTCTCCTAATGCGCCGGGCGGGCACCTGCCTCCTACTCAAGTAAAATGTGTTCATTTTAGGAAACGTGAAAGATCCTGCAATGTATAAAGAGAAAGTTCTTCAGACCAAGGTCTCTCGACCTCAACACCACTGTGTTTTTGAACTGGTTAATTCTTTATGGCCGGCAGGGCTGGGAGGTGGGGGGCTGTCCTGTGCCCTGTGGGATGACTGGCCATATTCCAGAACCTTCCTCACTATGCCCCTGTCCCCAGCGGTGACGACCGAAACGTCTCCAGACAAATGTCCCCAGAGAGCGTCACACTTAGCCGCGGAGAGGACCAACATCTCCATTCTCATTTCTTTTTCTCTGCATCCTTCGTCTTCACGAACATGTGGGTTTCCTCCTCCCAAGTGACCCTGGCTGTGTAACGGAGCGGGTGTGTTACATCTCCTGCTCGGCATCAGGTTCTCAGTTTTTTCTTCAATTCGTGAACTTTTCTTCAAAAATGGGCTTTCTCGTCCGCGTGAGAGAGCGGGCTGGCTGTGTGGTGCCAGATATCACTATAGCCCTCCCCCCGCCACTGGACACTTTTGTTGGGTCCCCTGACGCAGGGCCGTAAATAATGCTTGAGGAACACTGGCCACACAAATCAGAATCCCTGAATGTCTTCCAAGAACAGATGCTGCATGGGGATATTCCAGGGTCCAAGTAGCTTCTGAGAAGTTTCAATCAATATACGTTAAAAAAAAATTAAAAAGTTCGGGAACAACCGCACAGTATTTTGGGGCTGGGCGGGGGGAGCACTGGTTTTTTTGGGGGGTGGTATGTCATAACACAGCAGAACTTAGGCTGATGGCTTCAGAAAGCAGTCCGCAGCCAGGTGGTAAATCAGCTTCTTTCCAAGTAGACTGACAGAGGCTGTGCTGGAAAGGCTGGGGCAGGAGGGCGGTGGGGGGCTCAGCAGAAAACACACAGTGCCAGGGCAGCGTGTGATGCGTGCCCCGAGCAGGCGCATGAAGGGGACACACCCACATACACTGTGTACTATTGACCAGACCCAGACCCTCCTTGCTCAGGCACAGTCTCCTCACCATCACCAGCATCACCAGCACCATAAGCATCACCAGCATCGCCAGCATCACCAGCATCACCAGCATCAGCATCGCCAGCATCACCAGCATCACCAGCGCCAGCATCACCAGCGCCAGCATCCCCAGCATCACCAGCGCCAGCACCGCCAGCATCAGCATCACCAGCATCAGCATCGCCAGCATCAGCATCACCAGCATCATCAAGCACCATCAGCATTGCCAGCACCACCAGCATCAGCATCACCAGCATCACCAGCATCAGCATCACCAGCATCAGCATCACCAGCATCACCAGCATCATCAAGCATTACTCCGGGGACTGCCTGGCCTCAGAATCCTTCCGAGACGTCTCGAATCAGAATCTACATTTTAACAAGAGGCTGGCACGATGAGTGAGTCCATCAGAATGTAAGAAGGCTCGGTCCAAGCGGATGTCCGAATGCTTTTCCAGGATGCTAGCTGAGCCTGATGCTCACCCTCCTAAGACAACTTGAGGAAGTTTCCAAAAAGGAACGCTCTTGCCTGCATGAAAGCTAAGTGTCACATTTTAAGCCGACTGCAGCAACAGAGCACGAGGTCCTTCTTTCAGTGGCTAGTGCAGGGGACCCGCCATTGTGGATAACAAGCATCTACTCTCGTTCTGAACACCAGCAACTGTCACTGTCACTGTCATCCCCCTAGGGCCCAGAGAGGGCTGGTGGAGCCCTCATTAGAACATCTTCTGGATACCACTGATGGGGAGAATAAATAAGCCACACGTCACTTCCTCGGACGCGGCACACCACGGGGCTCGGCACTGAGTCCAGACTGACCACTCAGTATTCGTGTCACCTGCCCGAGTCACTTAAGCAGCCTGAGACTCAGTGGCCCCACCGGTCAGACGGGAAAGGTACAGACAGGTGTCTGTGCAGGTGTCAATGGATAGGATGAATGAGAAAACAGGACAGGAATGAATCTTAAACCATTCTCCCATTTCTTCCCATCCCATCACGGTCTCTGTGCTAGATTATTAAAGGTGAGGAAACATTTTACCGAATTCCCTTCTCCAGAGAGAATATACAAGTCCGGGGGTGGGGGAAAGGGGGTACGTAGAAGAAGGAAAGTGGCCTGACCCCACCCATTTTCTTAAAGTGACAGAAACCGAGACGGTGTGTATCAGGAATCCAGACGGCAGGATGGGGTGACCCCTCTGCCCTAACGAAGGTTACAATCCGTCGCCATCAGCCCCACTCCAGCCACCCTCAAACCCTAGAGAAAACCAACAAACCACCATCGCCTGTTCTCCCCCAGGCATGGTACACGGGAATGACCCAGATATACAGCCGCTTTCTATGTGGGGCAGACCCGTGCTGCAGTCACCTGGACCCCCGTCTGGTGCTGTCTTCAAGACACCTCCGTGGGCCTGCCGAGCGGGCAACCCCTACCTCCCGTAAAACGACCCCTTACCTGGGAATCACCGGTGGATTTTCGGACACTCATGTGGGCAGTCTCGGGAGGGTATGCTGGGGTCCCTGCCACGTGGTATCCATTCACTGTGGGAGAGAAACACTGCTCAGAGGCCACGCCGGCCACACGCGGGTGATGCCAAGTGCCTGCAGCCGTGGTCCCTTTGCCCATGTCACTGCCTGCCAGCCTCTGAGAAGTTTCGCCAAGCCAGGACCATCTCTCCAGGGTTCATGGAGCTGGAGACGGGCCATAAGCATCTCGCTAACTCCCAGCTCCCAAAAGCGGAACTCTCGGGGGACCGTGTTTCTTTCTGAACCGCATGGACAGACAGACGTGCTTCATAATAGGAAGTGACTGCAGTCCTACAGCCACCACTGGAAATGCCACATCAGCAGCCACGGGTGCTGATCCAGGGTCGGGCTCTTCCCACGGAGGCCGGCGGCCCCTCCGCCCCCTGCCGGCATGTCCCCAGAGGACCCCCCTCACCCTTGCCCTCCATAATACCAGTATAGAGTGGAAAGAACATGGGGTTTACTGATTTCCATGAAATTTGGCTTTGCCAATTAATAGCCAGAGGGGATCATGGGGCATCCCTTTTGAATCTCAATTTTCCTAACGTAAAAAAAAAAAAAAAAAGAAAGAAAAAGAATAAGTTCTACCCCAATGACAGTCATGCTCCCAAGGTGTGCTGATCACCTGCTCTCTAAGGCGGGGTGGGGGGGCTGGCTTGTAGCTTTTGCCAGTTTCCACGGCGCGTCTCCATCAATGCCGATTCAAAGCTCCCAACAATAGCCCTGCATGTTCTTGATGCCACAAGTACGCCCTGGGACCCGTGCGATCTTGGTCCCCAGAGCGGGGATGCTGTTCTCTTGCAAACATGGTTACGTGAGCTTAGGGAGCCGTTCCTCCTCCATGAGCCTCAGCTTCCAGATCTGTGAGATGGGGATAATTCTACCCAGCCTCGAAACTTACTCTGTTGGCATGAAAATCAAACGGTGGCAGTACTTGCCAAAGGAGGCTTTGAGTCAGGAAGTAATTCATGAGAAGGAGAGAGGGGTAGACGGAGGGAGGGGAGGTCACCGCTTCTGTTCCTGAATCCCACTGCCATGAGCCCTAAGCCTGCATGATCTACAGACGACAGGGAAGCATGCTTTTTGCATGCCAAGGCTTGGAGAGTATTGCCACAACATATAGACTGTGCAGATGTCCGGAGAAGATATACAAACTGAAGTTCTTGTTGGGAGCGCCTTGTGGTGTGGCAGGAAGCAAGGGGAGAGCTTGGCTGAAAGTCACTGACATCTACTGATTTGCTGGAGGCAAGCAATGGGGTGATGTACACCACCCCACACAGGACCGCTTTCATGCTAGGGGTGTCCCCTATTCTCCACCATCTGCAGCAAAAAAATTCCAGTGCCCCCTGTGGGGCAGAAACAGACCACTTCTGCAGACCCCTCTGGGTAGCTGGGAATCTCCGTGATTGGGAGGGTTGGCCTGATACTCTGGGAGAAGGGTGCACACAGACACAGGAAGGCAACAGAAAACCAGGCACGTGGCTGGCGCCCACTGCAACCAAGAAATTAACCCACATGGCCAGTCACAGCCCTGGCCTGCACTCAGGTCCCTTGGCAGCGGTTAAATGCCGATGCTCTCCCTGAGCCCCCCTGATGTAAGGGGAGCGGGACGTGGGATCCCAAGAGCATCAGAGAACGTTGAGGGGATCGAGGAGAAGCCACTCCTGTTGACATAAGCTACGCCAGGAAGGGCACAGACTGATGATCAGTACAACACACGGTGAAGGCGTCATCTTTGAGAACTGCCATTTATCAAACAGCACAGCACTGAAACGGAGAACACACATATGCTGGAGAATCTAAAGACGACAGGAGAAAACCTTAGCATGCTGCTTTCAGTCGTTAGACAAAAGTAAGGATGTAGACTATCTCAGGGATTCATTGAGAAGGCTGAATGAGCTAGGTATTAAAGCTCATGGGCCAAGAACAAAGAGAACATATTTTTTTTTTTTTTTAGAGGAGCTGAACAGGGAGCCAAATGTGGGGCTCGATCTCAGGACCCTGAGATCATGACCTGAGCTGAAGGCAGACGCTTCACCGACTGAGCCACCCAGGTGCCCAAGATAACATCTTTTGCCAACAAGCCACAGAACATTTAAAAAAGCCTGGGCATATACCAAAGCCACAAACAAGGTCCTGGTAAATCACAAAAGGCATAAATCACACAGGCCACATTCTTGAACCAGAAAGCAATAAGAGCAAATATTAGTAATGAAAGAACAAATACACAAGGTCTCCATCCCCCCCAACTTCCAAACACTTGTAAATTCAAGAAAATGCCCTCCTGGTGTCAGGTCAAAGAAAATTTTAAAATCGTAATTAACACAATATTTAGAAAATAATCAGGGGACACCTGGGTGGCTCAGTTGGTTAAGCCGCTGCCTTCGGCTCAGCTCATGATCCTGGGGTCCTGGGATCGAGTCCCGCATCGGGCTTCTTGCTCGGCGGGGAGCCTGCTTCCTCCTCTCTCTCTGCCTGCCTCTCGGCCTGCTTGTGTGTACTCTCTCTCTCTGACAAATAAATAAAATCTTTAAAAAAAAAAAGAAAATAATCAGGAAGAACATATCAAAACAGATGGGATAAGGCTTGAATTCTATTTGGAGGAAAATCTGTAGCCTTCATTACTCTATTACCAAAACCAAGGAGAAACAAATAAATGGACTGAGCACTCAAATTAAGAATGCAAAAAACTTTTAAAAGCCAATACAGGAAAAAAAGGAAAACATGAGAAAGGGATACAAGTACAGCCCTAGAAGTGAATGGGTTAGGAAACAGGATGGCTTTGCAACTCAGGCGAGTTCTCTTTGTGTGGGGGTGACTATGGGGAGGGGGGAGAATCACAACAATAAAAAAGCAGGTCAGCCCATCTCATCTGAGCCTGAGAGAGCGCATAAATGCTCAGAATGTGGAATTGGAAAGAAAACATAAGCTGATCTTGTAAGAGATTCTTTTTTAAATGCAAGAACATAGGATTTATGACTGTGGGCTAATGAATACATAACCTTCCATAAGCATTGAATGATCAGGGGTGCCTGTGTGGCTCAGTGGGTTGGGCCTCTGCCTTCAGCTCGGGTCGTGATTTCAGGGTCCTGGGATCAAGCCCCATGTTGGGCTCTCTGCTCAGCAGGGAGCCTGCATCCCCCCCACCCCCGCCTGCCTCTCTGCCTACTTGTGATCTCTCTCTCTCTCTCTCTCTCTCTGTCAAATAAATAAATAAATAACTCTTAAAAAAATAATTGAATGATCAAAAACAGTTTCAAAGGATACTAGAAACACCAAAATGAGTAAAAGCTTTGAAAAATGAAAAATGACCCCCTTCCAAAAGGCACCGGACCCAGACGGTTGTATGGGCAAAATCGTCCAAACGCTCAACAAAAAAAAATACCTAGACACAAACTATACTAAGAGTTTGGAAACATGTGTTCAGTATCTCAGTTGATTATACAAAAGTCAGCATTACTCTGATCCTGATAATCTACTAAAGGTAACAACAGAAGAACAAAACCACAGTTCCGTGTGACTACAAAACACGAAATACATCAATTCTTACCTGAGCAGGTTTTAGCTTGGAAGCAGTCATCACCTTTGATGATCTTGGGTCCCCATACACCAGGGCTGTCCCCAGCTCCTTCTGACCCCCAGTCCCTCCCCTCATGGCACCTAAAAGTGCACCCTCGGTACACTGCTGTCTGTCTTTGCTTCCAGCATCCCCCAGGCACCCTGCCCGCCACACGAACAGTGGCCAGGAACTGCTGAACGCAGGGGTATTCTGCTCCTAATCCATTCCCTTGTTCTCACTTCAGTTTTGAGCTGTCAGCTGCTGGCTAATTACTCTCCATGTCAAAACAATTACTGGGAAAGAAAAAATGATTTCCCATCCAACCATGTCTCCCCAACCAGCAGCTCTCCCCTGCCCTTCTCTTGCTGTGTTTTCCCTCTACCAGTCCCAGGCACACTCAGAAAAGTGATGGGTGGAGAGCTGAACAGTTACAACTCACCCATGAGCATCCCTGATTATTTCTAGTCCCCTGGGCTCTCTTAGCTTACCAGGGGTTAGATGCAAAACAAGTAAGGCCAGAAATGGGTGCTTTTGAAGCCTCCAGCCTCCAGGGGATTGGGATTCAAATAAAATTCGTCAAGGACTGCTCATAACCACGGGAACATAACTCAGTCTGGGGATACCCCCCCCAAAAAAAGGAAAATGCCAAATTCAGCTGTTTTTAAGATAAGAAAAAGGGAACCAAAAGCTATTATGTTGTAACTTTCATAATTCCAAACATAAATATAAACACACATGCACACATTTCATTCCTCTTTGTGCGCAGTTAAACAGAGAGGGGGCTTGAGAGAAGAGTCACGAGAGGAGAGGACAGGTATGGGGGTAGAAAGGGAAAGAAGGAGGTCTTCCGGGGGCAGAGGGAGAGCATGTGAGTAAAAACAGGAAAGGAGCATAGCAAGAGTTGTCAGGAGAGGCCACGCAATGGAGAAGACCCAGCAACACCTACTGCCCAGAATTCACACTCCCAGGAGCTCTGCTTCCCCTCCAGCTACAGTCCCCCAGTTGAGAAAGCTCCATCCTCCATACCCGACTGTCCACACTTCCATTCCTTAAGAGGCTCCAAGAGTAGACTTGTTCTCTCAAACAAGAAAACCAGCCCTGGAGACGGCCCCCTTTCCGCCTCCTTTAGGTCTGGTGCAATCTCTCTTTTTTTCTGGAATAAACACATACTCTCTTTCCTCAAGCTGAAGAGGCCCGGGAGCCCCGAGGCCTTGGCTCTAAAACCCACCCCCTCCTCCAATTCACACAGTCAACATGGTGGAACGCAGCGTTTCCTGGGGCATGCGACACACGACACAAATATGGCACGATGTCTATTCCACGTGCGAAGCAGTGAAGGTAGAGGTCAAGTCTTATGATCCAAAGACTTTGGGACAAGTGCTCCCATTATTCAGATAAAATTGCTTTATTATAGGGAGGCCTTTCTACATATAGGCACACCTCAGAGATACTGCAC